AATGAATAGAAAAAAATGTCTTTGGCATTGGTTGAAACTCTTTTTTTTGGAAATGTAATTGAGCTGGAATAACAGCCGCTATACCACATTACCATAATGCCAATGGACGGCACATATTTACATATAACCAATACATAAATAAGCACATAAACACCTAAAGATATGAACAATGGGCCAAATTTCAAGAAAACAACCGAAAGAAAATTACCGAAAAAAAAAACATTTTTACGCCGTATCGACATATTCAATCTTAATTAAACCTTTATTATGAATGTGTGTCCAACACCAATTCTATTAATTTTTGTATATTGGATATTTGGACACTACATGCTTACTCATACACAAACCGAGTAAGCGACACATACATGCATGAGCATTCAAATGAACTGAACAACAACAAAATCTGATGTTTTTGTAAATAGTTTTCTTTGGAAGTGTACAAAAAAAATGAGCGCATTGACCTCTCAAAATGTGCTGCGATAGAGGAATAAAACGTTTACATTTCATTTGACTTGACCATATTCGGTGTTAAATTTGTCACTGAATTTTTTGAGTTAAAATTTAAACGGTTTTTCGTCAGCGTTTCAATGAATATCACGTTTGTTCGAATGATTTATACAAGTTTTTAAAAGAGAGCATGCACTATGATTCGGTTTATTATTTCACACAATTTGTCTATCTAAAACACACACACACACCAAAAAATAGAAGAAGAATTCGTTATTTTCTTTCGTTCGTGCACGTTGGTATGTTTGCTGTTGAAAATTCCTCATCAAGCCAAATTTCATTTACATTTGACATCCAGTTGTTATCAATTCAAACAAGTTACAAGTTGTTTGATTCTATTTTTCTTCTTCATCATCATCATCATCTTCGTCTTTTGCTCTAGTCGACCTCTCTTTTGCTTCTAGCTAATAACGATTCTTGCTTTTTTGTTTATCTCTTTTGACTTTTTATATATATATTTTGATAATTTCGGAATAGTAACACGATTCTGATTTTCCCAACACTATTAAATTTTATGGCGCCATTTACGATCGTTCGTGGAATTCTTGAAACGGAATGCTCCGACCATTTCGACGTAAGGAAAAAGAGGACACACAGTCAAAGAATGCACACACAAACACACATAGATATTAAAACGCATTTGTGTGATAGTGTTTCCATGAATAAACGGTCATATCAAAAGAAAATTCAGAACGAAGAAACACGATGACAAAATATAACAGCAAAAAAGAAATCAAAACAAAAGTCAATATAAAGAGAAAATGTAAACAGAATAGTTTCCGTTTTCGCTGTGTGTATCGTTCATTTCGAAAAATATTTGGTTTTTTTTCTTCTCTATGTTCGTCTCATTCAATCGTTCACTTTTTCACCTCTCCCGCTATCCCGTTTATGCAAGAGAGACTAATGGCATTCGGTTTGATTTTCTGTACAAATATTTTACGTCTCGTTTTGCCAATCGAATAAGCAATGTTTTTTTTGCGCGCGAAAAGCATCTGAAAGTGCATACAAACACAATTTGATGTGTACATAAAATTGGATAAAAAAAATGCATGCAAATTTGCATACGCCCGATTGAAATATTGTTAAAAGGAAATGAATGACTTGTGAATTATTCGCTTGGTCGAAAAGTCTCAACAGATTCCTGAAAGTTTTTTTGAGAAAGTTTTTTTTTCGTCTTCTTCTTCTCTTATTTTGACATTGCGCGCTAATCAGAAGGAGAGAATTGAGGCAGTAGAGCGCGCGCATAGTATTCTCAAAGTAAAACAAAATGAAACCATAGGCAGAGTAAAGAGAGAGAGAAGAGAATGAATAAAAAAACAACGTTATAATAAATAATAAGAAGAAAAAACTTCCAACGGTAGATTGACTGTGAGAAACGGTTAAAAAGCAAATACAAACATTAAATTCATACGTGATACATGATACATATATGATACCATGTTTTATGGTGCGGATGTAGTTATTATATGTATGGCATAGTGAAGAACCAGACCTTCCGACAGCAACACATTGCATACACGCAGATTCCGCTGAACATTTTGTTTGATTTGTGGAATTTCGCTGCAAATGAATATTTAACATTATCGGTCAAATTCCTTTGAATTTCACTCCAGCAATTTTATTTTTTGCCAACAAACAAAAATCTATGGCCGACGAAGAGAATGCAAACAAACAGAAAGAATGATGTGACAACGATCAAATCTCAAATTCCAAAGCAAATTCGAATAATGTTCCGTTGATCGAACATCGGCAAATTTTTATAGGCAAATCATTGACCAAACGATTGATGAATTTATTATTGTTCAATTCATTATTTTTTCTTCAGTCGGTCTCTTTCGTTCTCGCAAAACATGAATAATGTTTAATGTATCGATCATTGCCCTAAAACTCGAATACTGACGCGCACAATAAACACATACCACACATTTGCTGTCGCTCGCACAATCGCTTGCTTTTTCAGTTTATCTCTGTGTTCCAACAACCAAACACACAAATACACACACAGAGAGAGAAATTGGTTCGCAACATAAATCGACTTCGCATTCTTTAGTATGTTGATTCTCCGCCATCGTCATTGCACGTTTCTATATGTAATGAACAATCCTCTCGTTCCATACCAGCATTCGGATCTGTGTGCATCTGTAAGTTGGACAGCATACGCTTGTATATTTCTATTTTCTCTATCTCTCTCTCGCTCTGTATATGTGTGTATGTTGAATTGTGTTGGCTCTGTGGCGAGGGGCAATATAAATATAAACATAGTAGTAAAATGTAGTAATATGTAATTGAAATCGTACGGGAAGTAATGACACACAGACGGCAAGCACTGCATGTTTTCATGACATCTAATAAAATGACTGTCGCTCGCTAGCAGCAGCAACAGCATCAACGGCAGTCGAAAGTGCATAAAATATGAGAGCCGATATCTATGCATGTACCTACATAAAAGAACGCATAAATAGAATTGGAATTGAAGCGAATCACTTCTACTAAGCGCACATTTATTTAGTCTGTGGAAAATACAAGTTCGGGCATTCACAACGAATTTGAACCAAAAAACAATCATTCCCTTTGAATTGGATTTTTTTTTTGGTTTTCAGGCCGTTGAAAATTTCTCCGGGATAAATAGTCAAAATAATAGAGAATCTAATGAAAATTGCTCAACATTTCCATGATGTATAAATCAAAAATATAAACGCACAAAATACGTTAAACATTCCGTTAATCATTCCATTGCACATCGTGGAAAAAAATCAATCGTTCGTCGACATTACTGTTCTCTCTTGCATCTGTGTACATTTAATGACACACAATGTGTGTTTAATCTTGATATTGCAATACACACACAAACACCAAATACACAGGAGTGAGAACGAAACACGAAAAAAAAAAATAATTGTGTGCATTTGTATAAATTCCAGTGAATTTGAAAATGGAAGAAAGACAGAAAAACCGAATTCACGCCATCGTGGATGGCATGTTTATTGGCGCACTCAATTTATAAAATATAAACACAACAAAATAGACATACTACATATAAACGTATAATCGCTATGATATGGATACAGACTATGTGTGCTTGTGTGATATATTTGAAATGCTTTCACACGCAAAAGTAAACCTGTATTATGATTAAAACGGAAAATCGTCTCCGTAAAATCTAACTACGCTACTATAAGTGGTATATCCGCGTATGTTTGCATTTGCTATGCGCACGTTTGTTGTGTTGTTCTTCATTTCTTATTCTATATAGTATACCGTCAGAATAAAGTGAAGAAAAAAATGTGCACCCAATTGTGTATAACATATTGGTCGAGAAGGAAAAAAAACAACAACAGAGCTCTTATGAGAGACACAATTTTTTTCTTCTTTGCACAAAAGAAAATCGAAAGCAAAAACACAGACAGAAATCGAAAAGGTTTTTATGTACTGGATTTATTGCATTGGAAACAATGTTTTTTCTTCTTTCTTATTACGAGAAAATTCTGCATAAGTTGTTCACTGGTCAATTTATTCAGAATATATTGTTACTCAAATAACATCCGGATACATCTCTATGACGAGTATTATTGACATCAATATATAATAGATTCTTATGGCTTTTTATCTAGGCGGCTTGAGAATGTTTGATTTTTCAAAGTGCATGAAACATTAACTTACATCATTAAAATGAAATATATTCGAGTGTTCAATCATTATGGATTGAAATTTCTGTGAAAACTGGTCTACCTCCCACTATTCATTTGAAGTTGAACAATTTAATGAAATTTTACAAGAAAACGGTTTGGTGCGTGAGTGATGTCTAATTTTTTTTTTCTCTCTCTCATTTTTTTCGATTTGAAGAACATTTCATAAGAATTCGAAAACTCGATTCTTTATTCTAAAAAAAAAGTATGTCAAAGTGACATATTTTCTTCATATATACGCAAAACGATGCTAATGCATAGATAGAATCAAAACATAAGAGTTATGATCATGCAGTGTCATACACGCGCCTCTCTCTCTCTCTCTGGATCAATATCGCAGAACTCTTTCATATCATTTGCAAAACTGCAATTTAACAACTACTACATGCAAATGTGATGTGTGTGCGTACACATTCTTATTTTTTTGCATTGAATGTTGAACGTATATCGGACCAATAGAATAAACCATTTATTGGCTTCTTTGTTCAACAAATAACATACACATGAAATATTCACTTAAAATCTTTTACTCGTTTTCCATCACACAACTAAACATCTCTTTCTATCTTCGTTTGTTCGTTTGCCCGTTTCAATCGGTGATAATAACAAAAAAAAACCGGGTGGTCTCCAATTTTTCTTCTCTTTTTTTCGTGATTTCAACATAAAAGATATAAAAGCGGCGTGTCGTGAACATCTGATTTTTTTCCTCACTATTTAACTAGGATTCTAATTACTTTTCACTCTTTTATATGCTTTAACTAACGTTTGTTTTTTATCTTCTTCTTTCATTTTTCCTCATAATTGTAGAAAACAATGCGGTCAAGTGGTTCTAGACGTTTTGAAAGAGCATCCAGTCAACGATGTATTGGAGAACATTCATCAAATCGCATCAACATTGTCAATGGCATCAGAGGATACAGGTAAGAGTCAATACTCTGTCAGAAAATCAACAGAAATTTAAATGAAACCAAGTCATTGTGATTGAATTGTCAACATATTTTAAGAAATATATTTGATAGATTTTGATGGAAATAAGAGCTGTCACATCAATTCACGGTCCATAAATTGTACGTGATTCGAATTGATATTCAATTTCATTGAAGATAGCTCAATTATATTTCCATCCAAAAGTTTTACATGGTTTGACAGAGACCATTTTTTCTTAACTTCACACACTTTAAATTTATTTTCTCTCAATATTTATTCTCTAAAATGAAGAAGAAAAAAAAATGCGGGTACTTAATTAAAATATTTTAATACATATTGAATTGGCACATGTTTCTCATGTTGTTTGCAATTTTGTAGAAGTCATAATATTTATTTTATTTTATTTTTATTAAAATGATGTTCTCAGGTTTTACAAAATGTTCTGTTGCTTATAAATATTTGTATTTTTTTTTTTTTTTGGTTTAAATTATCTGTCTCCTTGGTGAACACGATGCCGATGATTTATCACACACACTGAATTAGAGTGTATGCATATTCAAAGCCGAGCATTGATAGATCAACACAACTTAAATCAACTCGCCAAATTTTGCGAGGAAGCAATAAAAAAAAATACAACAACAACAACAACTAAATGATGAATTAGATTTAACGAAAAATTAGTACACAGCCTATTTAAACATGGTAAAATGTTTGAATCGGTAAAATTAACATTGTCTTTTTTTAGAAAGATACAATCTCATGCATGACCAAATCCACATTAAAAATTGACAAATTTATATCAACGATTCCCCTGGCGCAATGTTGTTTTTTTTCTCTCGTCTGCTTAGTTAATCGGTTCAAAATAATTAAAGCCATTAATGATTTATGCTCGTGTATACACAAAACGATAGTATAACATTTTCGAATTCGGAGCAATTGACACGCTGTGCAAAAAAAAATATCTAAGCCTTTTTTTATTTGCATGTTCCGCCAACTTGCACAATAAAATGCGCGATTGTATCATTCATAAAATGCACATTTCGATCGAATGTGAATATATGAGATGGTGAATATATACGAGACATGCGGTACGGATAGAGAGACGTTAAACAGCAGCAGTAATAGAATGGACACTAGAAAGTTGCAAACGCATGCGATCGTTCGAAGCTAGAGCAAACTCGGGCATATATAAAAAAATTCTCTCTTTTCCTTCGAACAAAGGCGACTGAAAAAAAAAATATAAATTCGAAAATGAGTTTTCTGAAACTCAATTAGTTCAGCGTCCAGACAGAAAATGAAAACAACCAAAATTTAAAAGACGAAAAAACGACATTACACCATTCGCCTGTTCTCTCTATCGTTACAAATACCAACAACAATATGCAAACGGTACAAAAATACGCACGCCACTCACACGAAAAAACCGAACAAATTAAAACAGCCAAGCACGAAAAATATAAAAATAGATTCAACTATTTTTAGTGTCAGCATATTTCCTATGAATTTGAATGAGATTTTAATGTGTGCGTTTAGCTCAGCATTTAAAATACTTAACATTTAAAATTCTTGATTTGCAACATGTTCAGGACATTCAATGAATTGTGTAAGAGATACATATGTTGGAAGAAGGAACGCGAATGAGATATTGCATAAAATACAATACAGAGTGTGTTGGTGTGTGTTTGGCTGTATTTGTAAACCGGCTGAATGTGTGGAGAGACAAAAAAAGGAGCCATGAGCGCGCGCGAATGCGGTCGATTTGAGGCGAGCAAACGAAGCGACAACGCGAAATGAGACTATGAGACAGCGAGTGTTGTGTTTTTTTTTTGTTGTTGTGCATATTGCATGAATGCATTAATTGCGTGTCACATTCCATCACCACAAGCGCACCCATTGCTGCTGATGTCTCGATTACATGTGTTGAAGTATGCCTCCGCAGATTTATTGCCATTCATTTGTAACACGCCAAAGAAACACACACACAGCACACTAAAATACATACACATATGTATTCATATAAACACACTCACATTTGTAGAACGCATATACGATAAAGAAAGAGGAAAAGTCAACCAAACAACGTACATTTCATGATTCGTACGGGATAAAATACATGTGAAAAGTGCCGCCCCACTTTTCATACAGACGACATGCTTTCGTTTGTATGAGCTCTACGTACATGCAATTCTCCGCGTAAACATTTACATTTACGTATATGCGCTGCAATAATACATGCATGCCTAATTATTACAACAAATATGCAGTGCAATGCAGCACAGTTTCAACACAAATTCACGGAAAACTTTGTATGTTTCCTTTTTCTTTTCTGTTTTTTTTTTTTAACATTTCTGTGTATCATTGCTGTTGTTACTGCTCCCACTGCCGCCACCGACGCCGCCACCGTCGCTGCTGCTGTTGTTGCCGCTGATTTTGTTATTGTATCCGCGCATATGGAGCACACTTCATATACCATAAATTTGTGTTGGCCATGTTCATTCATAAAAAATTATACGCTTACGTTGACGTGAATCCGATTTAAATGGATGAACATCACATTATCCATTAATTGTTATTAGCTTGATTAAACGCGTTCACAATGTTACAATGCCGTACGTGCCCAAAACACGATGAAACCCAAATAAAGACCTCCATACGATGGATATGTATACATAGATGCACTGCTATATACTACGTGCTTTGCACAAATGACTGAGCACGAAATCACTTGACAAACTCATTGACAGAATGACTGAATTCCATATTTTATTGTATACGGCATGGTTGTGCAGTTGTTTTTTTTTTTCGAAATCTTCTTCGTCAAAGTTTCTCTTTTGGCAAACACACATATGCGATTCTTTTGTTTCTCGATTTGTTCTCGCTTCTGTTTTTTTTTTCACATCTGTTTCGTGTGATGTATTGATTGTGGGCTGACAGTGATTTGCGGTTATTTCAATTGGTCAATATTATCGTTATCAGTCGATTGTTTTATGTCGACGTTTTTTTATCTTGTTTTTTTTTTACAGAAACTTTAAATGATTCGATAATGAAATAGCCCGAACAATTTGACCCAAAGGCGCACAATCGAATGCAATATTGCACATATGTACACACTAGCACACGTTTACAAAAACATTCAATATGAACATTGGGTGTGTGTGCTGTGCGATAGAAAACATGTATCAACATAGTAATAAACGATTCCGTCTGGTCAATAACACGAAGTATTTGCACAATGTTCGGTGACAACACACATGCGAAGTGAAACAATGCACCATACATTTGAATGTCTGTCATAAAGTATGTGTGCATGTTTTTTTATGTGTGCGATTCATTCACAAAAACCAAAAAAACGAATAACAACGATTGTGAATGAGAAACGATTTCGTGCGAAATTCACTCTGTGACTATGTAATGCACGATGTTATTTGCTTGCACCTGCACATGCATTCCTTACGATCAATTCGATCGATGTTGATTCGTGCACCGACACCAACGAAAAAACCTTTGCTTCAAGTGCAAATATCTATGTGACACAGAAAAGGTTTAATATAACAAAATCGAAACGAACGTAAAATCTCATGTTGATTTTAAGCCTCACAAATACACTCGGTATTTCTTACATTCAATATTTTCCATCACTCCGAACTCTGAATATTGTTTTTTGTGTTATAAATATCCGACAAGTTTCGTTGACAGTAGAAAGACAGGCTATGAATGATTTGGTGACTAATTTGAATTTCAGTGCTCATAATCGAGCAACATGCTTTATTATAAAAATGACACTTTTGGTTGTTTCTTTGCGTGTGCAACGAACGAATTAAATTCATGTGTTAATTTTTGCAAGTGATCGTCAATCATACAATGAATCATTTCCGGTATGGTATGTTTGTTTTCTCTCTTACACACACACACACACACAAACTCTCTTTCCCCGTGTCAAATGCAACACGAGAAAAATGTGATGAAAACAGAGCTAATTTGTTTTCCTTCTTCTTCTTTTTCAGTTTGAATTCGATTCGAATCCATGTTGAAACATGAACTGGTGGTTCAAACAATTGTTGTTGGTGTGTGGTTTTTTCTTCTTTAAAATAAATTTCCCTCGAAAAATAATGAATGTCACCACGTCAAATAAAAACGAATCATATATTCATTCATTTTCTGCTCTCGATTGCTATGACCACGAAAACCCGAGCTTGGTTTTCTTGTTTTTTTTTTTCGATTATGAATGCAATGTTTACCTGCACACACATTATTTTCGAAAAATAAATAAATAATAATAATATGCTATAGCAACAGCAATCAGGTAATTGTTTTATTCCGTGTGCAATATGCATGCCTGTGTTTATTGGACAAAAACAATATATTGGCAACGAGACAAAAGTGCTAATTTTATTCTGACATCGGACACACTCATGAATGAATTAAAATAGATTTTTTTTTCAATTCAAAATCACATCGAAATAGGTTTCGATTTGAAAATGATCGTAAACATTTCGTAAACATCTTCGTCGAGAATCAGTGATGACGAGAAATAATAATTGAATAGTATCGAGAATTTTGGTATGGACTTATTTCGATATACTATTTGAGCAGATGAAACGATATTGCGACACTGAGAAAAATGCTCGAATGACGTGTTTCAGTCTGGTCTCAATTACTTTCTAAGCACAACAGACACATGCACACAATCATTCTCTTTCTCTCATTTGCCTAATGACGGAACGTGAGACATACGGTGAACCATGCTCAAAAATAAATTTTTTGATGATGAGCATTTATTTTTAGGCTCGTGTCATTCACTCCTAAATCAGAGCGACATCCATTCGAAAATATACTGTTGCCAATTTTAAATTTGATTGTTCTTCTCTGATCGCTAATATTTTATCAGTATTTTTATCCGGTTTGTATTCAATGCGAAACTAAACACTGAAAACTTGTGCAAAAAACAAATTCGGAGCAATCAAGCAAATGCAGTATGAATTTAATGCATTATTAATTGAAATAAGTATGTTGTTGCTCATTTATTTTTGTTAGTCAGCCATTTCAGACGCCGTCGACATTGCGACAATTAGTTGGCATGTAATTAGTTTCCGAATTTTATGTTTAATAGTTTATGTGTACAACTTTAAATCAAACATTTTTGTTTTAGCGATGCAAAAAATCTCTTGATTGTCTTGTTTTACTTTCAATAAAATTTCTACAGTCGAATCATTGTGAACATATTGAAAAATCAGAACACATTCATTGTAAATTAACAACGAAAATAAACGAGAAAAGTGACTGTGACTTTATTATAACGGCAATCAATTCAAGTCAAGGCAGATAGAGACAGAGAGAAAGACAGACAAAGAGAGAGAGAGAAACAGAGGGAAAAAAAGTAAATAGTATAAATGTGCCATTGACTCTCGCAAACGTTATTAATATTATTATATCGTGTTTTTGTGTCGTTGCCAATCCATTTACCTGCTTGCAATCAAATCAAATTTATTCGTAATTCACGCACATCACATAATATTGTATATACGCAAATAAAAATTTATGGTTGATATACATTCTCCCGCGGTTCTTACGCTCCTTTTTCATTTTCACAATAGCTGTTATTATTATTCTGCGAAGGTACTCTAATTTTCTATCATTTTCATGAAACGAATACTAGAAAACACGCTGAATCACCAAACATCAAACCGAATCGATCTACATCTTTCTTTGTCCCTTTTTTTGTTATAGAATGCTCTACCTTTCTTTCAGAGTTTAATGTGTTGGCTCTCTCTTTCACACACACACAAACACACACTTTTCCTATGATTTATTGACGTATCGATGATGTATCTGTCATCGCAAATATTCTTCATTGCAAACCATGCTGCCACTATAGATAATTTATATGCAGATCGACCACAATGCATTTCCAGCCAAATGTGAAATATGAAATGCAAAATGTGATTAGTATTCCCCACTGTCTGGGCTGTTAACAATGAAACACGCTAACTACATCACATTCGCACACACACACACAAACGCACCAACGCCGTTGTAATTGCCGTATATTAGTCGATATTGGTGAAAAATAGTCTTAGCATGATCCCGCAGGCAAAAAGAAGAAAAATACCCTATCAGCGTTATTTTTTTTCTATCTCTCATCAAATAGATTTGAATTGGAATTATGTATAAATTGGGATTCTGCATGCGTATCGACTGCGTTTATTACATGTAGTTTATTTTTATGGGCAAAAATAAGGAAAGCGACATAAATGTTTGCTAATTTTTTTCTCTCTCTCTTCATTTCATTCATTCGCTTCAAAACGAAACAACACACTATATTTGCCGTTGAAATATTACAAAATTGGAAAAATGCTCTAATAGTCTTGGGACGTGATCTTTACAATGAAATTCGTAACGCGTTTTGGTTGCGAGCGAGCGAGAAAGGGAAGAAAAAAAAAGTCGTTGTATCCAATATCTTTCGGGTGTATTCAGGAATGACAAATGGATCGATTGAAATGCTACGAAGAAGTGTATCTCTGGAAAAATGGTTAATTTTCCATCGAATGTTTGGAAGAATTTTTGCAAAAGCATATAATAATCAAACTGAACCACGGAAAACTTGGATTGTATAGAGGAAAAAAAAGTTTATTTGCGCGCGCGCTGTTCCAAAACTTTAGGGTGTAGTGCCGTTTTTGTAAATGTTATTGATGGTGGTGGTAGTTGCAACATAAAACCGATGAAAATGCGCAGCAACGCTTCAGTAACATTCATCTCGATGGCAATGTGTTTGTGTGCTTTCACACTCTCACACACACACACATGCATACATACACACGCGCGCGCACCGAAACAATATGCTTCGCTGTAGATGAACATACAATGACATTTTCATACACAACCAATATTCAATTTGTTGTTTGGAATCGCATCAGTCGCACCTTGAAAACGTACTTTCCAAAATATAATCTACCCATATATCTTGATAAAAACGAATATCAATTGGAGGAAAAACGGTTATCCAAATTAGTAGATTCATAGTTTATCACATTTATGGTGGTGGCAACGGAAACTTATACCGTTAAGAATATTTCATACACCATTTTGCCAAACATTAATTGAATATTTTTGGCCAAACTAAACTGTAGATACATGAATGAAGAAGGGAAAATATGCGAAAACACCAAAGGGAATTCAATGAATTTGCCGAAAAAAATATTCAGGCAGTTTAGGTGGCGTTTGTTTTATCTTCATCACATACTCACATATATCCTGACGAACACACACACACACACACACACACACACACACACACACACACACATATATATATTCACAGTTTCATGTGCATACAACCGCAATCAGGAATGCGTATATCTATCCATACAGAGTGTACATCCACACATGAACACATTCATATAAACTGAGTTTGGAACGCGCGCAAAAATTCCGTCTCTAAGACCGTGCCGTATAGATGAAATATTTCATCCACAAAATGTTTGTATTGCTTTTTCATTCACTTCGATCCTATCGAAAAGGCATCAAACTACTATACGCACAATGTGCTGGAAAAAGAACGAACGAGAGAAATGGAGAACGATAAAGGGAGAGCACGTAACCATCGTGGCATTACTCTCGCCCTCTCTCTAACTCATATATTCACACCAATACTATGTTATTTTCAGGACGATCCCTTAAAATACATGTATAGATTGCGCGCCGTTTTCACAATCTTTTGCGTGTATTCGGCACACTGTGTTTTGTATATATATAAAAAAAAATCTCCCCAAAAAGGAACAGAAATAGTGACAAATAGAATGCGAAAAAGAAGGATCGAAAGGGAAAGCAAGAGAGAGAACGATATAGAAAGAAAAAAAAGTTTCAAACAGTGAAAAAGGAATTATGGAAAAGTTGGAAAAAAGGACGAGAGGCGCGAAAGTGAGTAGAAATGGAAGCGCACGCTTGGAGAAAAAGAGAGATGAAGAAACACAGCAAAAATACCATTGCTTAGCATTCTCAAACAGTAACATTCGACGATATTTTCACAACGAGAAGCAGTAGATTTTTCAATTTTGTCAACGAATCATCGAATTTGTGTGTTCATCAAACGAGAAAATTGGTCTTCCTTTTCAAAAAATCGTTGTATTTCCGGTTGTAGTTATCAAATTCAAGTTGATGCATTTTGAATTTCGGTGAAAAGTTTTCGAAATCGAAAAGAAAATGGACTTGAAAGAGGGTGGGAGAGAAGAAAAAATCATATCGAATCGAATACGTGCAGTATTGAAAGTCAAATCGTTAAAACAAATGGATTGGTTGTTTTGTCAGTTTGTCAGACATCAAAATGGGTGTGAAGTGAATCTGTAAGAATCTTAAGTAGCTTAAAATCACATAGTTATTACCGATTTTACGATTAGATTGCATGAAAATACTGTAAAACAGGACACAAACTCACACAATAAATGGACGCTTCAATTGAAATATCAATGGAATTATTCCTTTTTCGCATATTTTATCAAAAAAAAATCATCATTGACATTTGGTTTAAGTGACAGTGAAATTTTCACAAAGTTTATTCAAAAAAAAATCAATTGCGTTGCCTCTTTCACACGCATTTTTCTCGATCTAATATTTCTCCGTTATAATAATGTACACAGTTCAAAAGAATGGTGGCATCATTATTGTGCGCCTTTAAATTCAGTTTCCAAATGTTTTTGACTTCAAACGACCGCTTAAAAATATCGAAATGGATATATATGTGTGTGCATTTGTGTGTATGAGTATGTATGTATGTGTGTGTGTGTGTGCAATGAATGCGACAAAGTCAAAGTGAAAAATACAAGACAACGGGAAAAAGAACATTTTGTTTGTTTTTGTCATGAAATCCAACCGCTAACGCGAAGTCATTCTTTCATTTACAAGAAGACAAGAAGCGAGATGCAAGAATTCGAAACGTTTTTTTTCTCTTCGTTCTTTACTTTTCCAATACAATGCAATACAACGAGAGATACAACATTCCATTCCATTCCGTTCGTGCGTTATCAAACAGCAACCTTCTTAACATTGATACTCGTGCAATACATTAATATAAAGAGCAGGGCATATACTCCATACATATCTCTCTCTCGCGAGCTTGCTTGCTCTCTATATATCTGTGCACGTTTGGGTGTGTCGACGTCGTCGTCGTCATTATTGCCGCGCCATGGTAGTCAAAGAAATTTATCACATTCAATGGTATACAACTCAAAGTCGGTGTATTTGCATCATTCATATCTTTGTTCTTCGTTTACCAAATCACATTTTATCGGAATGTTTTTGTTTATTTGTTTGTATCTTTGTATCGCGTTTGGTTTTTTCGTTTTTTGTTTCTGTTTTCTTGGAGATTTTCATTTTTTTATGAGAATTCCATGCAATCACACATACTCCAAATTTTGGTGATGCATTTTCATTACATCGCGCCACGAAACATGTATTCAGTCGAATGAATCGAATATTAAATGTATATTGGTTCAAACGAGAAATATAATGAAAAACCAAATCTAACGTATTTTCAAATATGAAATAACATGCAATTTTTCATATTTTCTTCAATTGATTGTCACAAAAAATTTAGTTTAAACATCATTTCATCCATTCTAAAGGATGTATTTCTATTGCTACCGTGCTGGATTTTTGAAAATTTATTGAAATTGAATGGGCATATAAGGACATTTTTAATAATAATCCATTGGAATAGGCAAAGAAACACATAATACTAATCTTCTTATTTCTTGGAATATGTATTTTAAAATGAAACGATTTCAGTCACAATCGCTTTTTTTCATTGCTTTCGAAAATAAGCTTTAGTTCGAGTTTGAAAATTTCTTAAATGTGTATTAAAGTTTTTATTTTTATTTGTCATATTTTCAGATTCCTCGGTGCGGGCAGCGCTAGTTCAAGTTATACCTGATATATTTGCCAGATGTATCGAATTAGGTAACCCGGAATTGGAATATTTCCTTTTCGATCGTATGCTCGAAATAGTGCTGCGATTCTTGAAGAATGAAGAGAACATGGTGAGTACAACAAACATTTTTTTCAAATTTTATTTTTTCTGAAGAGAAACCGATCGAGAGATCAAGATTTCATTTACTTATAAAAGCATATGGGTTTTGAATCTTTGAAATGTTCATTGCGCCCGATTAATAATTACTGATGAATGTTTTCTCTTTTTTCTTCATTATTTCATAACCAATTTAGGTTAGAGAAACATCCTTTGCCTCCATCAAAGTTCTCTTATTGAAGAAATACTTGAGCGCATCACGGATCGAAGAGTTTGTGTGTCCGACAAGTGTTCAATTACTTAATCTGGAAGGTTTGCCGGAGGATGTAGTCAGAGAGCGGCATCCAGATGCATTTGTGGTGTGTACCATTTTATCGTTACCATTAAATATTATCGTTGTCCATTTAACCGTTGTCATTCATACATTATAATTTAAACATTGAAATTGAAATCATAAATGGATGAAAAAGTTTTGCTGAAAAGCGTAATGCTGATATAAATGCAAATCAACATTTGAAATATGCGCAGCAACATATATGGGAAACAACCCAAAGTGACAACAGAAATGTGTTCATTTTATTTCCGAAACATTGTGTTTGGATATATAGAGCGGTAATATGTTGGCGGTTTTCATAACAAACATCCATATCAAGTATATGATTTATGTGTTCAAACGTTTGGAAGATGAACAAATGATCAACGTCAAATTGGCGTTATGAGCAATGACCACATCGCAACCATCGTGATTTTTGCATTAAAACACAGATTGACCAAAAACATCCATCAATGAGAAATAAAAAGAATGTGTGTTGGCATCAAATTTGGCTGTATTAGTGTTTATGAAATTTCTATCACAGCCAGCTTTGATGAGCAAAACATATTTTTACCGAACATCCCTTATCAACTCAAGCGAAAATGACAATAAAATCGTTTAAGCGTCAATATAAATTGCAATCAATTTTAAGGTGTAGACGGTTGAGTGTGGAGTGGCTGCTGCTGCTGCTGCTTCTGCTGCTGCCAACAACAACCAGCGACAAACAAATCATCGAAACATGCTCATTTTCGACTTAACTCACAAACTGACTGTGAAATGCTGTATAATTAGGTCATATCACAGCCATTTGATGAGCTTAGTTGAAAATAATATCATCAAGAGAGTGGATTTTGTTGTTATTATTTATGCAACTATAGAAAAACAATTAAAATTGTGTTCTATCGTAATTTATCTGCAGCTTCAGTCATTGGTACGCAGTGTGAAGTGTTTGATGCGTATGCGGTCACATCCATGCAACAAAAAAGGATGTCATCGTTCATCTCTAAATCATATTTCTGTTATCAGTTCGTCAAAATGGCTGTGATATGAACATTTAAATAGCACGGCACAACCATTTTGTCGAGTTTGATGGCAGATTTTTTGTATTCGTTTTAATTTTCTTTTCGATTCTGCATTGGTTCCCATTTCATTTATCAATTCAAATATTTCAATCACTTTCACGTACACACACACACACACACACACACACACACACACATGAAACAATATCAAAATGCATGAAAAGGACAATTGCAGCGCTTGGTGTGTGTATGTGTGCGCGTTAGTAAAATTAAGGGATGGAAATTGTGCTGCCTTTCAAAGTGGCTGTGACTTGTTGCATTTGAAATTCATATCACAGCCAGCTTTGAAGAGCGATACGATTTTCTCGTTGCGACACATTTTTTTTCTCTTCATTGGAATTGATTTTTTAAACAAAGCAATTGTATTGAATAAATATTTGTGATTTCTTTTAATGATTCATAATCGGTAAAATATTCCGCATTGCATATGATCAAAATGGCAAACCGTTGTGCGAATTTCTAATTCTCACAAAGTGGTTGTGAAATGTTTTCTTTAAATATTCATATCACAGCCAGCTTTGATGAGCTTAGATTCTCGCAATTACTTCTTGCATTGTCATATAGAAATGCAAACAAAACAAAATTGAATGCATCATTATAATAAATTCATTTTTATGTTAGTTCATTTCTCACATACTAATAGTAATAATGAAAAAAAATAATAATAAAATTCCTTTTTTGATTGAATCAAATAAAATTGTTGTTGAATTTGTTGCAATGTTTTCATTTGGCATTTGTTGGTTTGTTTGTTTTTTTATTACAGATAATGGCCCTGCTTGCACCAATTATTGGCGCCGACAAAACTCGTGAATATTTTTTAGATAAGTTTTTAGAGTTATGCACAAACGAAAACTACGATGTTCGAAAAATGTGTGCCGTATTCTGTCCACACCTGTGTAAAGTGATGGGAATCGAAGTATCGGAAAAACATTTGGTACGCATACAAATCTTGTCATAAAACATTGATTTCATTGAATCAAAATTTAAAACAAAAAAGAAGAAAAAGAAGAAGAAAGAAAGATATCGCAACGATCTAACACAGAAATTGTGTGTTTTTCCATTTAAATCAGATCCCAGCATTTTTAAGGCTATGCGAAGACAAGGTGTGGGATGTACGCAAAGCAGCGGCCGATTCAATTCGTATAATTGCATTGCTGTGTTCGCATCCATTTCGACGGGACAAATTGTGTCCAGCCTTCTACAAATTAATGAACGATTCATGCAGATGGGTGTATCGTGCAGCATCGGAAAGTTTGGGACTGTTCATCTCTTCATTTGCGAAAAAGTGTATTTTAGGCGTCGCATATCGCCCAAACGGCGATCTCTATATACCAAATCCTGCAGATGCAGACTATAAGTGAGTAACGGTTTTGAGTTATTGTTCGATGTGTCTGTCGATCAATGAGTCTCTCTCTCTCTCTCACACTTGCAACTATTTATAATTTTCATTTTCATTTTTTTTTTGTTCTGCAGACAACATTCCCAAACTGAAATCCTAAGTAACTTTGAGTCATACGAAAGTTGGTTTGAGAAATCGGCAACAGCGCCAGAATATCCAAAGAATTTTATGCAACAACAAAAACAATTCAATAATAAAATTGATTTCGATGCTATTGTGAAAGTGTCACGTGAATCATCGAATGAGAATCCACATTTCTCTTTGCCGGAAACATTTCACAATGCACTTTCGTTTCGAAGTTACGATAATCATGGTTTTTCATTGTCAATCACAAATCTATTAGACACGTTTATCATTCAAAGCGAACATAATAATGGTCACAGCCATCAGCGCATTCCACGCTCAAGCGGTCACAATTTTGATTTGACCAGCCCAATAATGGAACCGATCAATGAATACCATCATTTGCGCAAGAATACACCGCGCGATTTTCCAATGATCGTACGAAAGGCAATGGAAAAACAAGAGGAAGAAAATACACGAAAATTTACCATCAAAGCAAAAATACCACGTCAAAATGCTGCACCACATGTGAAAATGTTGCAAGAAGAACGAGGCACAAATAGTTTTCAATCGTTACCGCCACCACCACCAGCGATCACCAATTCAGAGCCCGATACACCAAGCATAGAAAATGCACCCTCATCGATAGACTTTTCATCGGCTGTTAACTCAAATCTTAGCAATAGTTTACACAGTAATGAAACCGATAATGAAAACAATAAGGTCAACAATACGTCGGATATAAATTTAAATTTTAAAAGCACAGCTAATGAAGATGGCGCATACGATGGATTCACTTACAACAAACGCGAATTACGTGTATCACGATTCAGTGAATCAAGCGGTTTCAGCAGTATTCCAGACGATGACGATGCGACCGGCAACGATTTTGATATTTTAAAAAATACCGAAACATTCATGAATCGTATCAATACAATGCAATTGGACGATTACGATGATACCGATGATGATGAACATAATTTTAATAACAGCAAAGAATACGAGGATCTTGATCAATCATTTGTAAACATGGGACTGGAAGACGATGATTCCGATATCAATTCGAATTTAAATAATTCATTGGGACCAACCAAAACCACTGAGGACGACGATGATGAAGAGGTCTTTAGAGAGTTCAATTCACATCAATACTGGTACATTAGCCCCGATATACCAGTCGATATGGATATCCTTTTAGAGCCCGAAGAAAAAAGTAAGCATTTTCAAGTCTGGTTAGCCAAAAATAAAATAAAAATATATCGAAAAACAAAACCAAAAACAAACTCTGACTTTTTACCATTTTAATTACCATTATAGAAATGAGAATACAACTGGAAGAAGAGTTGGAGCTCAGACGATTCGATCGTGTAAAATTGATAAATTATCAGCCAAAAATCGTGCCAGCCGAACTAATCAAATATTTCGTGTCATTAGCTCACTCTCAGGATAGTCCCGTTGTAAATTATTATTGCGCATATCATTTTCCAGCTGTTGTATTAACACTAGGACGAAAAAATTGGCCCGTCATGTGCAGCCTATTGCAATTGTTATGTAACCATGGCATTGATGACATTCGAAAAACAATGGCATCGTCCATTTACCAAATTGCATTGATCATTGGCCGAAAATTAGCTACACAAGATTTAGTACCAGTATATTTACGATTTTTTGAAGATCAAGACAAGGTTAAAGTGGTTGCATTGAAGAATTTATCGAATTTTTTGACCGTGATTGATCGGCCACGATACGATATAATTGTGGCCGCACTATCAAACTGCCTAGGTGAATATTATGAGGCCGGATGGCGATTCCGTGAAGAGTTCGCTCAACAAATTTTAATTTTGGTGAAATCATTTGGCGATTTGGCATGGTCAACGCATAAGCTCAACTTAATTGGCATCACCATCAAATTGCTACGTGATCGTGTTAATAGTATTCGTAAAATTGCTTTAGAAACGGTAAATTAACATATTCTCTTTCACCAGTCGATTCCAAATAAATTAAATCCAAATTATTTTCGCTTACAGATGGTTGAAATTTGCAAAAAATTAAGCGCTGATGAATGCGATGTGATTTGCACATTTTTATCAAAGCATTTTGGATCAAATTCAAACTGGCGTCATCGGCAAATATTCAGTGAATTTTGTCATCAATGGGTGCGTGTTTTTATTTTATTCGATATTCATATTCAATAAATTTCGTACGTTCAGTTCAATTGAGTGTCTATAATCAAATTTAATTTCAGATGGCACAAGAGACGCCCCTATATCCGGACGTTTTTAACGATCGTTTGTTTAATATTGCTTGTCAATTGGTGAAAGATCCCGTACCAAATATTCGAATGACCATTGCCAGGTGCTTTGCGTTGGTGTTATCGAAACAGTACATTGACACCCAACGATACAAAGTAACCGTCATAATATTGCGTAAAATGCAAACTGATAGCGATCCGGATGTGAGTGACGTTGCATTATCTTGTGATTTACCGTCAAACGAGGACGATAACAATGACACGACGCGCAATTTAAGCGAATCATCGACCAGCAATACAAACATTTCATCGCTATCAACTGCATCAACGGTTGATATGAATTGTACGGATGGTGGTACGAGTTTTAATCGTGAAGGTGATGACAGCGAAGTATCTCAAGATAGCATAAGCTTGTATTTGGATACAGACGAAAAGAACACAAGTATGTGAGGTTTTTGCTTCGTTTGATCGCAATTTTCCACACATTGCACATTTATTTACGAGTAAATTCTTTTTCTTTCTTTCTCTTTTCGTTTCTTTTCTTTTCTTTCTTTCTTTTTCGTTGTTCGATCTTCGTTTTGTATATTCAAAATATCTGCGGTATTTTCTTTCTTTTATTCAAAAACATTTGACAGGTAGTGAAGATTCTTTACCTAGTGAATTGCTTTCATCACAATTAACATAAACGAAGCAAATTTGAAATATATAAATAAAAAAACAACAGAAAAAAATATTTTTTTAGCATATTGTTTTCTTTTAATCTTTTTTTTCGTTTTTTTTTTTAAATTCCATTTTATCTTTCATTTAAATTTTAAGTGTTCTCATGAAAGCGTTGAAAAAAAATTGTGAAATATTAAAAATACAATCTATGGAATAAACATGTAGCCAAAAATTATGAAATGAAAAAAAAGCAAATAAATAAATAAATAGTTACATTCAATTATTGAAAAAAAAAAAAAAAAAACACATGATATTTATATGCAATACACCCTTTTACATATGGAATGAATACAAGAAATGATTAAATTTAAAAAAAGAAGAAAACACTCGCATACAAGAAATGATGAAACAACCACACACACACATACTAGAAACAGAGATAAATCCGAATTTCAGGATCGAATTGAAATTAAATGCGACCGATGTGATTGATCGTAAATTGACATCTATATTTTACACAAATATTGAATCATCGGCTTGTGAAGATAATCAAAGTTATTTGTGAAAGAGAGAAAAAGATTTGAAAGAAAAAATGTTTTCATTTTTTTCGACAACTTTTTTTGTTCGATTTTTTCCCATTTTTTTCATTTATACAAGATATACGCAATTTAGGTTTCATTTTACTATTGATTTCGATGTGAAAGAGACTTGTCAATATCGACTTTACTGTTTGAAAATGTAAATTAAAGAATTTTTGTGATCGTTTTGCCAATTATTATCAATCTTTTTTTTGGTTATCCATCATATTTTTACTTATATACTTAGGATGAAATTATCAAATTAGATATGTTAGGATGAAAGAAATTTTTTTTTGTTAGAATGCATGTGCTTCGGTGATTTCCGCATATAATTAATATTTTTTTTATTGTGTAATAAAAACAACTACAAAGCAACATGTGTTTTTTCCCTTGTATTTTAGTTAAAATCGGTTCTATAAATGCATTTAGTTCTTAGTTTTTCAAATTTCCGAACTGTGGTACTTACACGTAATATTCACACATAGAACATACTACCTAATTGGGACCACACGAATTTAAGCGAATCAAATGCTTGATGCGTGAAATAACCGCCAAATATATTCTCTCGATTCTGTTGATTCGAATTCGTTATGTCCATTTCGGGGTAGAGAGAATCAATTGATTATTATAGGATGAAAACAAACAAATCGAATGACACAAATTTACAACTACATTTATTTTCGAAATCAAATTGAAGATTGGATTTGGCTGTTTATTGAGACAGTTGCACATGTTACACCTAACACAATGTCTCAATATTTTTCGAGATTGTTCTTTTTGTTTAAATTTGATTTAACGTCAAACTCTATTCGGCCAAATCCAAATCGATCAAGCGCCGATTCATTTACAGGTAAAATGTTTATCGAGATGAATATGGTCGCAATTCGAATGGATGAATCGCGACAATTAAAGCAATTACTCAGTAAAGCATTGAGTTACCAAATGACGGCTTTTTTTTCTCATTGTCTCACGCAAAATGTGTGTAATTTAATTATATTAGTGAAAGAAGAAGATGAAGAATACAAGTGATTCGTACGATTTCGATTCATAATCGTATAATATTCATTAGAAAACAAGCACTAAAAAAACACTTGTTAAAATTGATCTTTGGAAAATGTTCTTTTCTGTTCGTCCGAAGAACTGAACAAAATAAGACACAGGGGAAACACATTTTTCGCTCATCGATACCTCCCCCACCCCAGGCTAAATTTTGAAAGAATATGTATCAAATACGTTAAGCAACTCTAATAATAAATGCATCATCTATAGAAACGTTTTGTTTTATTTTTTAGTTCAATTAGTTTTAAGGTGAGAACAATAAATGCAGAAACAAAAAAAAAATTAATCTGATGTAAAAAAGAATGAATAAAAAAAACACATTTTTGTAGTTCGAAGTAAATAAAGTATATAAAGAAAAAAATCAATTGAACCTGGTGGTTTCCCTTATTTTAAACTATTCCTAAACATGATGAGCTCCCATCGAAGGGACTTTTGTTTTCAGAAACGGAATAAACAGCGTCATCAACAGCGGCGATAATCTTGTTGAAGCAAAGCGATAAGCATTCAACGTTTAAACCCCCTTTTTCCATTCATCTATACAATTCACGGCATTTTTTTCACCAAGTTGCACACAAATATCAACGATAGTTTCTTTGGACACTTTCAACGACTGTAATATAAACACAAATTCGAATTTTATTATGAAATAGAGATTCACTCGAAATTTCGAAATTACCTCTGCATAGGTGAGTAGAATTCTGGTTGGATTTCGAGATTTTTGCCATGATTCCACGCAGTCTTGATAGCCCAAAATCATCGCAATCGATTTCCATTTATCATTCTTGTTAAATATAACGCACAGTTCATCAAGACATTGTTTATCAAATTTCTTTGCATCTTGTCTCTCTTGCAATTTGCATGATTCAGTTTTAACGATAACGCTCGTTTGCTTGGCCTGCATGAAACAAGTTTACAAAATTACTATATCAATCACATTCGATTGCGTCAATTCATTTAAATGTCAATGTCATGCAATTTTAATCTCACCTCAGTCGTTGTTTTGTTTATTTCTTGTGATTCAAACGAATCTTTTGAGCTTGCGTCGTCATCATCATCCATCGACTGTTCGTTATCGACTGAAATATATCGTTGCATCAAATTTACCAAATCCATTGAATTCGCCACGCGTGCCAAGTACAATGCCGTATGATTGGATTTGTTTACTTTCGATGGATTTATGCATTTATTTTGTATTAAATATTCGGCCACATTGTGAGCGTCCGATTCGATTGCAATATGTAGCGCATTATTTCCATGCTTTCCCTCTACATCATCGAATATTGGTTTTTTCATTTGTGCCGATTTTACGTCTAACATTTTAACAATGTTCACATTATTTGTCATCGATGCCATGTGCAACGGTGTAAAACCGGAATCATTTAGTATACTCAAATTAATTTCGACCTCTTTTCCCCATTTGTTTGAGCTGCTATTCATGATGACCGCAACACAATCGTCATTTTTTTCACGAATTGCAATATGCAGAGCTGTATTACCATCCGCATCGACGGCATTCAAATCGATGCCATATTTGATGAGCTCTTCAAGTACACTTGTTTTATTCATTGCGCTAGCGAAATGTGCACAAGTTTCTTTATTGTAATTTCGTATGTCCAACAAATCGTATAATTGGAATTTATGTATAATTTCCCAAATACAATTCATTTGCTTGAGATCATCACTTTTTGCACAAATGTGCATAATGTTATTGCCATTGAAAAGAACCCTTTGGAATATAAATTCGAAGAATTTTCGACAAACTCTTGAATTGGTGACATTGTGGCCCTTAATCAATGGATTAATTTTGTTGAGAAATTGTGCAATCCATTTCTCTTCTTTTGATAATGATGCATTTGAATGATCGTCATCAATGCTGACCGAATCTTTTGCAAGCTTATCAAATTCGGAATTTTCTTCGCTGCTCGCACAATTTGGATTCTCATTCAATTGTTGCAGTAGTGAGGTGAATTCTATTTGAAAAGAAGAGGAAGTGTTGAATTACTGTGTACATTGTGATGAAACAGACGTACCTTCTGGATCAAGAAGTTCATTTGGACTGTTGCTGAAAAGATCGGATATTATTTGATCGATGTCAGTGTCATTGCTCGTATTATCCATTTGTGGCACATAACTGTCCGACGGATTGCGAACAAATGCATTTTCTGCCACGACCACTGGTATGTCGGAATCGTAAAAAGAGGCAACTCGTGGTCGTTTTCGATTCATATTTAAATTGAAGTTGACACATGGTTTGTATCGAAATTCAACTGGTTCACTAATGGCTTCATCACCTATAGAAAGTTATTGTTGGTCTCGTTCATTTTGGGTTTTTTCGGTTCAGAGCGCACAAAACGCATTATTTCACTGTTTTCAAAGTAATCTCGGGTCTGTGTTTGATTTTTCTCTTTGGCGTCCGTTAATCGGAACGGCGTTCATGTTGGCGAGAAAAATATGTTCAAGCAATAGTGATGATGGTCAATATTATTTTGTTCGATCTTCAAGCACCGAAATAAATCCGACCTTCGGCTTCGGCTTGGAAAAATTGCAAACACAGACTTGAAACCACCACGAAAACAGTGAATAAAATCGTTTTACCTTAATACACATCAAATCGAAAAAATTGAAAAGTAAACGAGATAAAATACATACCCGGTCGATACAGTTGAATATAAACTTTTACCTAATTTTTGTTTAACAAAAAGAAAATCTCATTAACAAATTGCTGTATAAGAACAAGAGAAATGCAAGCGTACACTTTCATCAATGCTGACTTCACGATATGGTGGTGTTTTTAATGCGATCGCATATTGATGATGAACATCGGCTTCCGTGAATTTTCCCCAATCTTCCCAAATGATTTGATCGTCATCTTGTTCAAAAAATCGAACCTTTATATTTTCTAAAAAATAAAACATTTTCAACTCACACAATTTGGTTTGATGGAATTGTTTTGATTTTCTTACTTTTTCCAACTTTTTCGACAAATATGAAAAGGTCATCATTTCCAGCTGCACTTCCAATGACCGAACTCATGCGACTTATTTTCAATTCTCCCGTCAATGCACTTTCTGCATTTGAACAAAATGAAGAAAAAACAAATTAAATTCCTTTCTGTACGCACCACAACAAAGCGACTTACTTAAATTGTTTATGGGCGTTGAAAAAATAGGTTCACACAATCGCATCCATTTACCATTAACACGTTCATATGCTTCGAAACACAATGACACCTGATTCAAATTCATATCATTGGAATGTTTTTTTGCTTTTGATCGTAACAGATCCTTTTCGGGTTTGGTTAGATCACATCCCTTTTCGAATTCAGCCCGACCCACCAATTTATCATATAATTCGTCTTCAATGTGCTTTCGTGCCGTATGTATGATTCCCATTCCTTGAAATGTTGCTTTGTATCCATGTAATTGTGATACCATCGCTTCGTGTGGATCTTTTTTATCATCGTTACCACAACGAACGACCAGACTGTGCGAATGGGGAAACGGTAGTTCATGGCCCGGTTTCCAAATCTGATACAATGAGCATCGTATCAATGCTTCACCGGTGAAATTACGTAGACGAACGGCTGGAAATGTTTTTTTCGAATGTTGTCCGGTGAGCATACCATGAGTTCCATGCATTTCGGATTTATAACGAAACCGAAACTTATCGATGGGCTGTTCCATTATCTCTAAAAATGGTTCATCCATTTTTGTGTTCATCGTATTCACAAAGTATTCTGCAAAAATCAATTTATTTAGAACATTCACTTAAATTATGAACAAATAACAACTTTTACACCAGGTGCATATTACCATTGGCATTCGATGATATTTGCAACTGTTGAAAATGATATGCACTGCTGCTATCACTCGACGAAACCGGTGACATACTGTTCGATATTGGTGACATATTGCCTGACATCGGTGAGCTCATTGTGCTACCGTACAAATGAATATTTCCATCTGTATTCATTGAACTGACTGACGATGGTGACGATAGCAATGACGGCGAATTTACTGCATAAAATTTTAAGATTAACAATATGAGCGATAAAATGTTTGTCTTCGATTGCCTTATCAGTGAAAATTTAAAATTTAAATTTTATCTGAATTTCGTATTTTCGATACACATAAGTAATGAGCACAACAAAAAATATGCTGAGCGTTATTGTTTATGTTCAAATTGTTATTCACTTTGGAAAGTAGCACTCTCATCACTGATCTGACTGGAATGAGTCATTAGAATAATTTCAGTGACAAAATAAAAAACAAATCTGATTATTTACACACAAAATAAATAGAGAAAATTGCGCGACATGCAATTCAAACAAAAAAAGAGGCGCGAAATGATTTGTCATGAAAGTGATTTTTATAGATAATACAACCAGAAATATGATCAATATCAGTTAGTAGTTATACATGCTTTATTCTGTTTATTCAGATGCAATTAAATTGGTATATCTGTGTATATTTGATAATATGCGTGTACGATAAATAATGACGTTGTAATGACTATAATATGACCTTGCCAATTCAAAACGATTTCTTGTTTTCAAACACACACACACGCGCTCCGAATTGGACAGCGAAACAAAAACAAAATTATCATTCCGGTCTCGTATTTTGCAAATGGTTCTAATCGAAATGAAATGCGATAAAAAGACTACATCAATATCAATGCCAATATCAGCATATTGAGAGCGATAAGGAAGAAACGATTACAACATCTGTAACTTACACTTTTCTTTAAACTAAATTCAAATGACAATTCAACTTTATTGTCTCAATAAATAAACGACACTGGCGCTACAAAAAATATATTTGTATTGCTATTTTAAAGTTTTGTTTCTTTATTTATGCGGTATAGTCACTGTTACTGCAATCTAAACTGAACGTATCAAGTTTAGCGGGAGCCTTTGTATCTACGATCGATAACCACGTGAATTCACACACAAATTCAAATCGCTTTCATGCTTAGCAATACATTGATTCGACTCTGTTTGTAGTATACAGTGAACAATAACAAAAAATAAAGACTATAAACAACCGCAGATCTCAACATGTTATGAATCACAATACAATGGGAACTTGTTTACCAAGAACGTTGGTTTTTTTTGTAGATTCTGTACTTTCCCAACATTTAGAATAACGACATCAAGTGCAAAAGAGATTAATCGGTGTTTTAAATATGAAGCATTATTACCGCAGTTATTCAAAAATAAATATTCAGGAATTTGATACTTTGACAAAATTAATTTTAAAAAAATTTGCGATTTTTGAGAAAAATGCATTTGATAAATATCAATATGGATTTAAATTGAGAAAAAGATACTCACAGTAATAATCGTGATGATATGGCTCCAGGTTATGAAATACAGACATCACGTTGATTTATATTTTAGTTTCAAGCAATAACAAAATACTGAACCGATTCTAATTTAACCGAAAATGTATTATTAAAAAAAAATAAAAAAAATGTATCTTCTGTAAAAAAAGTTGTGAAAATGCTAAATTTCCGATTTTAAGAAAGTGAAATATGAATAAATGTCGTTAATTCGATGTATTAAAATGAATGTGAATGTCTGTTGATGCGCTCAGATGTAAACATTTAAAACAACTGAAAACAAAACAAATACGCCACTTGCTTTAATTCCACTTCGGTAGAATTTCCCAGTGTGATTCCCCGTAATTATAATTATCGCATGCTATATTTTACACTAACAAAATTATATTTAGCGAGTTTTGCGACACAGACAGAATAGCAATGTAGATACGACGTTCAGTTGCGGGAGAAGAGCAAAAAATCCGTCATTCGTACTATACCTTTTGTTTGTTGATTGCGTGTGTGCTTTAATCAAAAAAAAAGTTTTTGCATCGTTTTAAGTGAATACAGAGTGGTTTTTTATTTCTTTTTTTAAAGCGTTTATTTGCGGCATCTTCTTCCGATGCCATGAACGCTTATCTTGCTACGAAAAAAATGCCTCATAAATCAGTTACATACTCCACATTTGATTAGTCATCCATATTACACAGCTAAAATTCTGCATTCTATGCTAATATTTCGATTTCGCGAACGTTGACATCCGTGATACTTTTTATAAATTAGATTTATTATTATTTAACATAAAAGCTGAATGTTAATTTTTTTTTTTTTTTTCAAATAAAAAAATCTGTACGCACATGCGTTGTCATTAAAACATCTTCTATTAATAATAATAATTCGTTTTATTTGATTCTTTAAAAAAATATGGTTTTTGGAAAAAAATGTATGTTAATTTGTTCCAAAATCATAATCAACTCTTATTTATTAATACAATTTAACCTCTTCTATTGAATACCATTTCGTTGCAACATTTTCTTTGGCCATAAGTTTGCTGTCAACCAAATTGTAAAGCATTGCCGAAATGATTTTCGATTGTTGTATGTCAATCAGAAAATTGTCGACAATCTCTTTCCATTTTGTCAATTGTTCAATTAGACTTTTATCTCGTGACAAAATGAATTGATGAAAATGCGAATCAACAATGACCGTAAACCATTTCACCAGTAAAATGTCTTCGTCAACGGTATCGCCGTTTTGTGGTCGATTTTCGAGTTGTCTATCTTCCGATTGTATTGCCTGAAAAATGTGATTCAATAGTATGCGTACGCCTTCAAAATTGACATAGGCCCGTAATTGTTCGACCATCAATTCGGATTCAAATGAACACGATAGAATTGCATTCAATTGGGTTTTATATTCATCGGTTTTTTGTGTTTCGGATGTAATCGTTTTGTTTCGTATTTTATCCAAAAAATATTTTATTGAGATGGCCAGCATTTTTTCCGATATATTCGAATAGTTTCGAATGCATATAATTAAATCATCGGATAAATTTGATTCAATGCACATCGGTATAATCATATTGCTAATGGCAATTTCACTTTCACCAATTCGTTCTAATTCCGTGACCATTGAATGTATCGTTTTACTATCAAAATGTGTATCATTTGTGTTGGCTGACAATTTCAGTTCGGCCATATCAGCAAGTAAGTCATCGTCCATTTTGATATCGATAAGAATATCATTTTGTTGCAATGATCGAAGGTCGGTCAATAAATCGTCGGGTCGCTCGAATGCACGTTGACGCTTTTCCATGTGTACGTCATCAATTTCACTCATATCATAATCAATGTGACCGTTTGTCTCTTCGCCAATTGATTGTGTGACCGTGTTTTTATCATATTCCAAAACTTCTTCCAATTCGGCGTCTGTATTTATGCATTCTGTATCGACAAATGATGTTAGATTCATGCTTCGCTGTGATCCCAACATATCCGACAATTGCTCTTTTGATATGCGGAATGAAATGACGGCCAACTTTTGACCAGCCGCTAAAAAGATGTGCGTATCAACAGTCCAGAGACGTGAATTGGTGAAGAATACCTTAAATAATTGCTTTGATTCGATCACTTTGAATTGTGTATTGTATAATAACAGTGCTCCACCCTCTTGTGTTGCGTTTGCACCATAAATTGCAATGCAATCACGACTAACGCCAAGCACACACAACGGATGATCCACATTTATTGCCATCAACATTGACACAAAATGACCAGGAGCTTCTTCACTTAGATTTGGACGTAGTGCCATCATGAAAATTCGACGATCCGACCCTATAATTGAACAATTTAGAAATCTTTTCAACGATTTAATTCAATTGTGTACTTACATATTGTGACTAAGTTTGGACAATTGCTGCTGTCAACGACGGTGAAACCACATAACCGAATATTCTTTTCATCACGCAATAGCTTTAGACGATTTATCGGCCCATCCACGCGTAATGTTTCTTTCTCCAATTTGTAATAAATTAAATCAATTTCCTGAGTTTCACGCGACTTTACGAAATATGTTAGCACAAATGTATCGTTGGCACCTTTGAAATATGTTGAACTCAATATATCGACCGATGATTGATCAACGATTGGTTTGAATTGTGGCAACGATAAATCTTTTTTCTCTTTCCGTGTTTCAATCGCATATTCTAATGATTCACACGTTCCGTCCGCATACAAAACAATTGTTTCAGCATTTTCAATGGAAATCAGACTGCTAGCAGGTTTTGAAAGCTGAAAAATAAAAAAAGTAAATTAATTTCAGTCATTCTGGTCACAAATAACAATGTCAATGTAGCCTAGATCGGAGCATACCTTGAGTTTCCTAATTTTATTGATATCTGAACAATCGGCTGACCAGCATCGAATCCATTTTCGTCCGAAAACACCAACATAAGCCTTTGAATTGAAATCATAAACCACTTTGCTCGAAAGTTTATCTAAAGCTGTCCAACTGGTTATTTGCTTCTGATTACTCAACTGCACATTAATTAGAAAAAAGTATATAATCACTTAATGAACGCAAATTAAATTGAAATTCATTTGATTGCTATGAACACTTAGTTACGCCATACCTTTACGTTAATGATAATATTTTTGCCGAGCGTATTGATGACATTGCCTTTTGTTTGATCACGCGATAAACCAAGAAATTCCTCTTCATCATTTATTGGACACAAATGAAAATAGCTCAGAATTTTTGCCATTGTCTCAATCGTATTTTGGTTGTAATTCCGAAGGCATGGGTTTTATGTTTTTAAACTTTGGATACATACATGCCGAACACGTGAAGCGAAATGTCAATTTCTACATTGGAGATGTCAGCTGTCAAACAGTAAAAAATGATTTACATTAATATACGGTCATAATCTAAATTTTGCTTACAATTCGTATTTTTTTTCGTTTATTTCGGTCAAATGTGCATCGTTTAAAATTCAATGGAAATTTATTTTCGATTCAATTGCTTGTGAGACAATTTTCGAAACAAAAATAATGGAAAAAACTAATTAAATTTAACGGATAGACATTTATACGAATATTTCGTATGAATGTGATGTATTGAATGCGGGTAACACTAAAATCATCGGCCATTTGAATCGGTTCGGAATGGTAAGGATGTATTTGTGAACGCTCGTAGCGCCAAATACTAATACATAGACGAAAAACGTAAACTAATTTAGCTAAAAGCGTAAAACGAATGGAAATTTACTTATGCGAAACGTCCTCCATTTTAGTTTCATTCGGGAATTATTACAAAGGCAGTGTATTACTGGTGACGGGTGTTTTGTCGTCCATTTTTGGTTTTTTTTGTAATATTCAATTTCAGACGCCATTTTTTTCGGCAGACATATTTTATAAACATTTTAGCGTTAATTTTGAAAACAAATTCATTTGCCGCATTTCCATTTAGTTTTTTTCGTTCAAATAATTCGTTTCAATTAATGTGAAAAATAGCATATATTGCGTTTTATTTGTATGGTGTACCAAATTTATCGATTGTCAGCGATTTGTGCGTGGCTGTAGCCATTATAACCATTTTCATATAATATTCCGACAAGAGTTAAGAAAGATATACGGCATAAAAAAGAATATATTCACACACAGCATTCAAATCAAATAACACATACGCCGTAACGAGTCCATTGTTTGTAAGTTGACAGAAATAACAATAATAATAACAAAAGAAATTGAAAGCAATTTTGAAGTAAAAGCCATTTTATTCTAAATTTAAGTTATATTTTAAGCGTGAGTTTCAAAGTTTTTTTTTATTGTTCTTACGTATATAGTATATATATATGTGCATATATAGCATATATTGTTGTTTTTTTTATCTGTCGCTGAGCCGTGTTGATTTGAATTCGATATAGTTTCTTTGTTTTATCCACGTCCGTTTCGGCATTTGTTTTGTTTGGGTATTTGAAAAAGATGCAAACACTCAAATACAGTCGCATGCTCACTGACTTTAAATTGAACGACAATTTGTGTAATAAATGGCACAAAGTGTCAAATAGTTCTTGTTTTTTTTTGTTTTCAAATTTTAATTGACTGATTCATAGCATTTTTTCGTTTTTTTTTTGTGTACATTCATCGTTCATATAAAAAGCCGCATTTTATACGCTTTGATTAGAATTTTTGTGCTTTATTTTTGTAAATTGTGTGTGTTTTTAAGTGATTATTTTTTTTTTAATTTGATGAATGATTATAGGAAACGCGCCGAAATTGATAACTTACGAAATATACGATGTCGAGCCACAACGATATCATGTGTGAGGTTGAAATAGATTCGAGTATTGTGGAAGTCGTCGATAATGAGGCTTTCAGTGATATGGGTGTTGTGGCTTATGATCACTATGAGGTCAGAGTTGGCGACGAGGATCAATATGAAGAAGTTACCTGCGAAAATGATGACTCTCAAGGACTTTTACTGCAGAATATTGACGATGGTAATTATAGCTGGAAAATCTAAGAACAAAAAAAAAAACACATATGATGATGTAAACATACTAAATTGATATCGCTTTCTTTTTCTCGTTTCGTTTTTATTTTCGCGTTTTGCTTTTTGATCAGAAGAAGTGATTCTACATTCCGAAACGGATCTACCTGTACATGAAGAGGTGTTAGATGCATCAGGTGATCCTTTGTGTGTTTATGGAGACGTTTCAGCTTTGGGCAATGAAATTTTTATCGAATCATCGCCAGGCCCATCTAGGTACGTTGTCATTTTTATTTTGATAAAAACCGATTTTATTAACCGAATTTTTTTTTGCATTTTTTTTTTTTTTTGAAAATTGATTTTGAATTAATCGAAAATTGATTATATATTTCTATTTGAATATTTTACAGTGATTTACTACCAAATAGAAAACGAAAGACAGCCGTCAAACAACAAAGGGTTGTGAATCGTGTACGAGCCGCAAATGCCGATGATTTAATTGCTATTGATAGCATAGAGCATAAGCCAGTAATCAAACCACGTCGATGGGAGCAAAAACAAGTTCAAATCAAAACAATGGAAGGTGAATTTAGTGTGACAATGTGGGCATCAGGTGCATCAGACGAAGAGGATGGATCAAATCCAGAACCAGATCCAGATTACACAGAATATATGACAGGTCAAAAAATCACACAAGACAGTGTAACTGGTCTCGATCTATCGGATCCAAAGCAATTAGCCGATTTTGCACGACCTGGTCACAAAACAAAAACAAAACGACCAAATAGCACCAATATCGAACAATCACATGACCGCACAATAGGTAAGCAACACATTATTGATTCAATTCTCGTGGAAAAAGAACCAAAAATTTTAGCTCAAGTTATGAAAATTTAAACTAATCGATATTTAAATAATAATCATGTACAATAGGATGCCCGCATAAAGATTGCCATAAAATGTTCCGTGATAATTCAGCGATGCGTAAGCATTTGCATACGCATGGTCCGCGCGTGCATGTTTGCGCTGAATGTGGTAAAGCCTTTGTTGAAAGCTCCAAATTGAAGCGACATCAGCTCGTGCACACGGGCGAAAAACCATTTCAATGTACATTTGATGGTTGCGGTAAACGTTTTTCATTGGATTTCAATTTGCGGTAAGTTGATGAAGTCATAGTCATAACAGTCATTGATAATTGAATTGTGCAACGTGCACGGCTATATTATCCAATGAACATACTAATTTAATTTTATTTGTCTATTGATTGCGTTATTTTTTTCTTCATTTTCTTTTCTATTCGGTGTTGCTGCAGAACACATGTGAGAATACATACTGGTGATCGGCCGTATGTTTGTCCGTTTGATGGTTGTAACAAGAAATTTGCCCAATCAACAAATTTGAAATCACACATTCTAACCCATGCTCGCGCCAAGTAAGTGTCTCTGTTATAATATGTATATTGACTATGTACTTACTTAAATGAACTAATATTCGATGGTGTTTCTTTAATTAAATTTTAAAAAATAGGCGAAACACAAGCGGCAACAATCGTAACACACCAACCATGGCTCCTCAGTCGTTTGTTAAAATGGAAATGCCGGTCGATTTTGATAGTAATCAACAATATATCGTTTACACTGATTAGAAATAGAATTTAGATATAGAGATATACGATATGATTTTTTTTTCTGGTAAAAGTCATAAATGGATATGGAAAAGTGGGCAATTACAATGGCCTATACAAAAACAAATTTAATATGATCATTATTTTTAATTAAAATTTTAAGTTGAATAAAAAAGGAATAATAAACACATACACTTGAAATTGCGATCGAAAGTAATGCGAAAACAGTTCAAAATCATCGAAGGAGCAAAAAAAACTACATTTGGTTAAAAGCGAACGCTAGACATGCAACAAAATAGGAAGAGAAATTCACCTCAAAATTATGAATCTAGCGCGAAAACCACACATTTAACATAAAAAAAACAACAACAAAATAGTTTAAACAATTAGTTTTCTAAGCTTTAGTTCGTTACGTATAGTTCAATACAACTTCATCAATTTTCTTCTTTTTTTTTCTTTTTGAAAAAAAAAAACAACAACAAAAGCTTGAAAACCATTTATACATATATATACCGATTATTTACATACCTCTTAACTTAAGATAAGAGTGGAAATAAAGCATTTTAGCTAGAATCAAATACCTCGAGATAGATTGTCTCGGTTTCATTTTATGCCACTCACGAAAAAAATGAACACATTTTTTATCTAAAATCAACAAACAATCAATAGTCTTACGCAAGTTTTTAACGAATGCCGCAACATTTTCCAAAATTATTTCTCCCAAATGTACGTTTTCCGGGAAATTCAGGATTTTTTCCCCAAAACAATTAATTTCGAAAAATGTTCCGCCATTCTTTTTATACTAAATGCTAATGCGTAATCATTGAACGGCAACCCCTCTCCCCAAAAAAAAAAATCTCAATTGTAATTTACGCAGCATGTGCCGCCATGTGTTTACGCGTTTGCATTTGGTAATAATTCAAAGGTGAAAAAAAATAGCCCAACATTTTTCCAAATCATTTTGCACAATATTTGTTAATCCATTGGTTTTGTATGAGGTAATTTTTGGATTTGATTTTTGTAAAAAAAAATTAAGAAAATACCTTAGACTATTGTGGTACAGTCTATCTATGTGGTAAAAACAAAAATTACATTAAAGAAGCATGCGAGTTCACTATGGGTAATTTGTACACATATTAAGCAAAACCATTTTACACACATCTAAAGTGAAACAATCAGTTTTTTTTTCGAATGTAAAAATTCTTAAATTAATGCAGCAAAAAAAAAGGGAGAAAAAGGATGAAAACAATGATGAAAAGTAGTTTTATATGGCGGCTCAATCTGACAATATTTCCATAGATTTTTCTTTTGTTTGTATTGGATATGTGGATACTGGTGAGGCCATTCAGAAAGTGTATTATGTATGGCCGTGAAATTTTCGATCGTTTTATCATTTGAAACAGATACACACAGACACACAAAAAAATGAGTACGTAAAGAGAAAAAAATTGTCTTGAACTATCCAATTGATGGGTATTTTTCAAGTTGTGGAATTTATTTGATTTATAAATATGGCATAGATTTTTTTAAGGAAAAACAAAAAATAGATGAAAAATTGTATTAATTTCAATAAACCAGGAAAAAGCGTATTTTTCCAATAATTTGATTGTTGTTTTTATTGAAATCTGATTCCCGATTCGAAATAGTTCCCGAATCCTTAGATCAACCGTAATTTTGAAAGAAATTACTTACCCAATTCGTAGAAGATTTATTGACTTGGTTTTAAATTAAAAATAAATTTTAAAATATCAATTTATTGCAAATCTATTTAGATTCTGCAACTTTATTAACTTTCATTAGGTACATCATTAATGTATAATTGTTTTCTTTGTTTCGTGGTGAGTGTTTTAATTAAGTAGTGTTGATAGTGTTTGTGTTGAGTGTTTGATCAGTTGGATGCGAGTGAATGTTTCTGATAAACATTTTGAATAAATTTAAATAATTTCATTTTGTTAGACTGGCCAGTTCTTGCGTCAACATACAGCATCTAATGCATTTAATTCTTTCAATTAAAAATAATAACTATCGTATATCCGTTTTGATATCTAAACATTTTTCGTACACGTGTATATATATAATTTAGTGATTTGCATGTAGCACAGGATAAGGGAAGCTAGCTCGTTAAATTTGGCCGTTCTGATTTCTTCAATTCAACCATCCATGGAAAACTTTACGTTTCATTTACAATTGCTATTCCTAATTATTTAATTAAAATTTCTTTATTTCTTTTTTGTTGTTCCCTACATTCATTTGTATACTCTTATTACAGCTATCAACAGATCGAGTATTTTCCATTTTTGTTTCTTCGCTTTTCATAAATAACATCGATTCTAATAATTTCGTCCTTAAAATTTAGGTGCCTGGTAAGTTCAATTTGCTTGTACATTGTTTTTTTTCCTTGTTTTAATTGGCTTCTACAGAATTTAGTCATATATGTGTCTGTTTCTTTGTGTTGAATTGATACTCGTGTTTTCTTGTAACTCACGCCATCGTGAGTGTTTTTTTTAGCTGAATACTGTGATTACTAGCTACAAATGTACCTGTTTTTTTTTTTTCATTTATTTGCATACGCCACAAACTGTCTTCCCGCTCTTAATCCGCTTTAGTCTATACAAATATAAATTGTTTTGTTTTTCTTCATAAATATCAATTAAATTATGTACTTTTTGTGCTTCCGAATGTTGATATTTTTTTATCGGAAAATCAACAACAACAACTGCAACGCTTTCAAATGCTTGTGCGATTATGTGTCCTTGAGTCACGTCTTTTGCGAAGATTTGCTGCTTTCGCGGAACGAGTTGGTGTTTTTGCGTTTGACGATCGGCCGTTACTTTTGGTCGATTGATCAAAGCTCTTGCGTCGATTGGTCAATTTCGGTCTAATACTGAAAAATGATGTATAATCACTTTTCGTGCCACTTCTCGACCGTGATGCGTGCTTGCTATTTTCAATGTTGTTTGCATTTGAAAGTTGTTGCCGTGTTTTTCGTTTGGCACTTGAATCAACGTCGATCTTCTGAATGTGACTGTCTTCGGTCAATGCATCAATTTCTTTTCTTCTTGCTCGCTTAGCTGGTGTTTTATTTTCGCCATTTTGGCTTGAATTTGAGGCTGCTGATTGGTTTTTTGATTTTGGCGCTGGTACTGGTTCTGGTGCTGGTGCTGGTGGTGTTGTTGTTGCAACGGTTTCGACGCTTTTTTGTTTGTTCGGAGATTTCGATTGTCTAGTTTTTTTCAATTTTTTTGCAACAGACGATGCATTTTTCACATAAGCACTGATAAATTCGCTATCCGACGATGAGCCCAACAATGATTTATTATTTAAAGCGACCATTGAATGAAGTGGCAACGGTGTAATTGATTTGTTACACGATGAATTTGTCGACGTACCTGGCGTGCTACGACTTCCGTTGCGTTCATTTTGCCGATTACGCACTTGTTCAATAAATGCTTCGTTATTCGTACCAACCGTAATATCGGACATAATTTCGTCATAATCTTCTGGCTCTTCTTTAATTATGATTGGCATCACCGGAAATGGTCGATGCAGTTGCGGTTGTAATTGCGGTGGCGGTTGTGCCGATGGTGGTTCAACAATTGTTGATTTTGCTGTGGTAATTGTCACCGATTCGGATGTTGTATTTGCTGGCAAAATCATAGCTGGTGGACGTATAACCGATACGGTATTTATGCTGCATGTTGTATATGATGTTACATTTATACCAAATTCAATCATATACTGTCGCAATTTTAAATCCGATTGTATTGCATTTTTCTTTAAATTATAAGCAACATTCAATTGAATTATGCACGAATCGCACATATTCTTCGGTAAATTTTCACATTCGTCAACCTGTTGAATAAATTATAAATACAAAATATAATTAAATCAACAAACAAACAAAATAAATGATGAATAATATAAAACAGCGATAAAGAAAATGAGATTGAGCTTGGTTGGTATATAATTCGTATGAAACATGCATAAATAAAAGCGTTCGAATCAAAAATATTAAGCTCTTTCATTAAATGCCATTTAAAATGGTCCGCAACAGGTTTTATGGTGATCGACTATACACAGAACAGCAGCTGCGATATGATCACCCCTTTACATTGCATCTAACGGAGCTTTTTACGCATTGGTTCAACAACCGCAAAATTACAATTCTCTTCTTTCTTTTCATCTTTACGAACGTCATTAGCTTTGATAAATAAAACAAACAAAAAAGAAAAGAATCAACAGTTTCATCTCATCCATGATGTTGTTGTTGTTGTATGTTTTTCTTTTCTCCACATTTTTCCCATTTTACGTGGATCGCGTGTGCGAGACACTTGGATCGTTTTTTTCATTGTATGTACGTTTCCAGCTCTGTGTCTATATATATTTTTGGATAAATAAGTATACACAACTACATAAATACCCCTAATGCGCATTCATTATGCGACCAAACACAGTCCAAACACACAATCAAAACATAAACACAGACGCAGACGAAGCCTTGATCCAATTTCATTTCTTCACGCGCGCTATGTGTTTTTGTTTTTTTTTGTGCTTCTTCTCCTCTCTTCTCTCTGTTGTATATTAATCGAAAACGACCACAACAACGCAGCGAATAAAAAAAGAAAGCGCGAAACCTTTCTCAAAAAAAAAAATACTTCGATATGCTATGTGTGTCGTGTATGGAATGTAATGGGGAAATGAATTTTCTGACTTACTTTTAACATTGTAACATATCGTAGTTTTTCAACCAAACGATCTAAAGATGAGACATTTTCACCAATTGCAGGGATCGAGAAGTCATTTTGAGATGCTGTTGATTTCTCAAAAATATTCCGTGATGCACTGCTCAAGCAAACACGGCAAATATTTCCCAAATTTTTATTCATTTTTTGGGAGCGATTTGTTCGTTTTATGTCGGCAACGTTTGTTTTTTTTTCTTTCGAGTTACCACTTTCCACTCAACAAACAAAAAAAAATTATTTTCTTTCGTTGTTATTTCACGGAAGAATTCTACACCAAATTATTCTTTGCTGGAGAGAATAAACAACAAAAATAAAACTCGCTCAAAATGAAACCACAAAGCAGCACACTAGTAAATAATTTAAAACAGCATATTCAATTATATTTCGTTTTGCCTTTTTTTTCACATAAAACCTTTGTTCTATATAACTTTTATCTTATACGCAGTATATATACGTACATTATGTTAATGCGAAAAACTATAGAGCGAAGGAATTCTGCTAGCGTTTCATATACGTGCACAGTAAAAGAAATTTTCTTTAATTGGACAGACAAACTCTCTGTGTGTACTATTATATTAGTTATTGTTGTATGTTTGGCTGTATATGTATGTGTGTATGCAAAAGCTTATGTGCTACACACAATTAAAAGAAATCAACTTTCGTCTGATGTTCACAATACAATGTGTATTATGGCTGAGCATGGATTTTGAAATGAAAACAGCCGTTGAATTTGTCATTGAATATGAAAACAGTAAACTTCAATATGAGTCGAGAAAAAACAAAAAAAAGTTTCTCTGGAAAAAAATGGAATTTTAATCATTTGGCATTTTTTTTAAAATCGTAAACATATTTCTTTAAAAGTTAAAACCAAAAAAATATTTTCGATGAATTTTGACGATTTTTTTGTTGGTTATTGTTGTTATTTGACATCATCTGTCATAGTTTCAGCGCCTCTGTCAATGTGAACGAAACATTATTAGATTGAGTGTGTCTAGAGTATCGAACGTCACTAAGCTAAGCTATTGTAGCTAATATCAGTCTCGTATGTACATCTGCCATTTTTTTCTTTGTAAATAATTTCAATACGAGTTGAATTCGAAAAGAATTTTCTCAATTCAAAAGATAATAAAAAGTGCAACACGCAATTGAAATCATCTTCAAGATGGGTGGAAAAACGAAGCATCAACAGCGTACGAAAAATAACACAAAAGTAAGCATTAACAAAATAAAAAATAAAGTGTTTTGATTGTGAATCAGTGCATACAATTCGAAATGTTTTGCATCGATGTACAACTGCTGTGTACACGCTGGCAATTTGATTTAATTAAAATTTATCGATACATTGTTGTTTTCTTGTATAGCCATCGAGTAGTGGGCGATCAGCTGAATTATTAGCATCATCAACGATACCAACCGTTGGTTTTGCGAATGTGACACAGTTCGGTTTTTTGCCCACAATGTTACAAGACTTTTCAGCTGTGGCAACCGATACAAGCAATGGCATCGAAGACATGGACTCATCATTGGACACAAATTATCAATTGGTTTTTCGTAAGATGACAAAAAAGGATCCAATCACCAAGGTTAAAGCGTTACAAGAATTCAGTGAGCTCATTTTGAAAACCGAACCAAACATTATCAAAACAATTTTACCATTTTGGCCACGTTTGTACAATAATCTATCGACCGATGTTGAGCATCGGGTTCGTGAAGCCGCCCAACAGGCACAATCCGCATTGATGACACAAGCTGGAAAAAATATTGCACCATATTTAAAACAAATTGCACCCGCTTGGATAACCAGTCAATATGATACATATGCACCGGCCGCCAGTATTGCAACGCAAAGTTTCCAAAAATCATTTCCCGCTCATAAGCTGCAGGACGTTTTCAATTTTTGCCAAAACGAAATACTCGACTATATCACCAAAAATTTAATCGTTTACACAGCAACAACTCTATCAAATCCACAGTGAGTGTTATCATTTTTATGTTGATGGTTCGATACGAATTTTTGTTTATTTTTTTCTCTTTTGTTCTTTGTTTTATTTTTTAAATTCAATTAGATCCAATACACTGGAAGAATGTGAAGCGAAATATCAACGTGTACTGATTTGTAGTTTAAAAGGATATGCAATGTATTTAACAAAAATTTCGGACGAACATATGCAAGAAGCGTCCAACAAAAATACTGCGTTGATTGAAAATCAAAAATTTTGGTCATATCAAAAGCATAAGAATCCCGGCATTCGAGCTGCATGGTTTGAAACGATGAATGTATTATTGCAATCAAATGTGGACTTAACAAAATATGAAAAGCAATTGACAGTGGCTGCCTTACAAAATATCGACGAGACTGAAACTGTTGTGTTGCCTCACCTTTGGACGACAGTATTATTGGTGATGCAACGGTTCGTTGAATGGCCCACCTACATAAATATGGAAAAAGCGTTGTTACCGAAATTGTGGAAAATTTTGAAATGTGGCGGCGGTGGTAGCGCCGAAACAATTTTTCCACACTTTTTGCCATTGTTATCAAAATTGAATCGTGATATTCTTGGCGAAAAGGTACTTACATTCTATGGCAATTTCTTTGAAAATCTAAACATTGGTTTGTGTGCACGTTTGGCTTATCAAGCCAACAGTCGATCAGATATTACGGCTATATCGAACGCATACTATGAATGTCTACAATACATTGTGATTCAAGTGCAAGGCTTTTCACCCGAAATGTTTGAAGATGGCCAAAACGCAAGTGAATACAGCTTAAATTTACTGCAACAACATGTGATCGATGTTATTGGTTATCTGTTGACCAATCACGCGACAATAAATGGTAAATACGTTTTGGTACGTATGGTCGAACTGATACAATTTTGGAATCAAAATGGTGGCAATAATCAAATTTATAGCGCTCTATTGGCTCGATTCTGGACAGAGTTATATCCAACGATTGAAAATTCCTTTGATAAAAGAACATTTGAGGATCAACACCTTCGTTCAAAACTTGAGCTGGTACATGATTTGGTTCAATTGTTGCGATCAAAATCATCGAATGTAAATAAAATCAAATCGTCCAAAGTGAAATTCAACATCGACACCGATGCGGAGGCAAACGATCAAATTGATGGCATCGCGAAAAAAGTGTCCAACGATGAAATCACATTCTTCAAAGACGAAATATCCGATTTAATTGTAAAATTGTGTAAATTTTATATGAAAAAGACATCGAATAGTATAAGCGATTATTATGTACGACCATTGGAGTGTTTGCTGCATGAATTTGGCACAAGTGCAACATTTTTCGAACAACTTTGTGGTTCGCAAGAGGACATACCAAAATTATATGATAAATTTGCCAGTTGGTTGCTCCTCAAGGAAATACGCTCCGAAAGTGTACTCGATATTACATTGAAATTGTATCCACATTTGAATGCAACCGAAAAGTCAAAAATGTTGAATAAACTATTGAAATTCCCAAATGAAAATGTAAAAAATTGGACCCTAACACGATTGCTGAGTCATCCGTTGTGCGCTGAAGCAGAAGTGATACGTCTTCTTTCGCAGCCAATTGTTACCGAACAAATAATTAAAAATGCCAGAGAGTTGATCACCGAAAATGCCAACGAAACCATAAATTTGATGCATAAATGCTTCTTTCAAATGGAAAGCGGTCATATTTTGATTGATAACCATACATGCGAAAGTATCATTGAGATTCTCTGTAATGCATTGATCGATCCAAATGTCGATGACAATGTATTGGATACGTGCGTAAGTTTCTTGTCACAGGTGATGCCAGTCATTTGTGGTGACACGAAAAAAGTTGACATTCGCAATAAAATGTTTGTAAAATTGTTCGATTTGTGCGTTGACAAAAATCGCCTGGCCATGTTAAATGAAGATACACTCTGGGAAGCGGTTACCTCATGGCAAGATGCATTGTCCAGCAACGATATCGAATTAACCGATGATCTATTGGAAACATGTTCGAACATAATCAAAGATAGCCTAGTGGCGGCTATTTCAGATCAAAGCACCACCATCAATCACATTGATACGATTTCTGAAATTGTATCAAAATTGATTTTATGTTCAATTGAACGGTTTGATGATAACGATGAACAAAAATACCAACATGCCGACAAAATAATTGCAAACTTATTTGCCAAATTCGATACCGAATACAATATGTATTTGAATGGTTGCCTTCAAGCGTGCACATTTATTGAATTATTAAATGGTAATATGACGGCCGTTCCATCGATACTGTCACAATTGGACAACGATTTAGGTACGCTGGATGTGTATAAAAATGCAAATGCTTTACTAAAATTGGCAACATTCAAGTTTCGTACGATATTCAAAATCACATGTACCGTGCCCAAAAGCCGCAAAAATAGCGAAAATGAGACTGAAAACGAAGACGATGATGACGCCGAAGTGGATGTTGTAAAACCATTGGATGAAGAGCACACCGAAGACTTTTTCGATTTGAATGAATCATTGTTGAAGAAATGGTCGGACAAAATCTTTGCAGAAATTCACGGTGCAATTTATATAGGCGGAATATTCAATAGCTTTTTGGATAATTTCAATGTAATTTTTTTTGAATTTCGCATTTAAATTCAAGTATCTTATTTATTATCAAACTTTTCTCTATTTGACTTTTGTTTAATTACAGTTGTCATCGACATTCGAAGAATTTATCCTTTACTTCCAAGAGACAGTTCACCTATTTTTGACCCACATTGCCGAAGAAAAAGTTGATCTTATTGTTAAGTATTGGATCAATGCCGAACGACTTGATGATCCATTTGCGGTGAATAGCACGTTACTTTTACAAGAAATCGGACCGTATAAAAGCCAGGAGAATTGTTTGGCCTTACTTCACAATGATCTAAATAAAGTTTGCAATGGCACCGAAAATTTACAGCAATACATCAATGTTTTGTTGACGTATACACAGAAATTGTCGCTGCGACAATTATCGATCAGTGCTAATATCTTTGACAGTTCAATCGAACCACATTTAAGAGCAATTGGTTTGCGATGCTTGTTGAGGAACTACTTCACATCCGATAGCAATGAGATTGGCGATCAACAAGTTGTCAACGAATGTCTGAATCTTATTGAAGAGCTTTACGTACAATCAAAAACAAATAAGGAGTTTTTACTTTATAACGAGTAAGCGAACAAAAGAAACGATTATTATTATTCATTTGATTGACCCTACTTTAATTGTGTATTTTCAGAAATATATTGACGGTTAGCGACGAAAAAGTGCTTCAAATCACCGAATATGTACGATTTTTGGCTGATGTTATTCAATTATTCCCTGGTAACATCACCGAAAAGGGATGGGATTTCATTCGTATTGCAATTAGCTCTTGGGTTTTAACACTGTCGAAGAGCAGTGATCATTGGAAAAGTCCAAAGGTATGTTGAACATGTCCAAAATGGTTCAAATGCGTGAACTTAGATGTTCGGAGGAGCTGTGAAAAAGACCAAAACAGTTTCGAAGAATATGAGGGTGTGAATATTTTGTCCATTTAGAGAGTTTGAATGATTTTCACTAAATGAATGATTTTACGTTGTATTGGCAGATCGCTGTGTTTACATCAGCAATTTACAAAATGTTCGAGGTGCTGTATGGATTCATCGGAGAAGAACGTGCCAAGAGTTCAACAAGAGTCGTGTCCCAAGTGATTGACGAATGGGAACACGTTTTCGCAAAGGATGTTAATTTGATTCTATTAAAATGTTTCATAAGATTCATTCAGGCAAATGGTAAATTTCTTTTATGACACGATTATGATTCGATAAAATTGAGCACATTTTTTTTTGTTCTTGTGACAATACTAACAAATAATTAATATAATTGAATTTTATGCAATAGCCGCAGCTAGTGACAATCGTCAAGAGTATTTCTTGAAAATATTGAGCCAAGCAATAAATCATGTAGACTTTAAGTACGTTGAAGTGGCGCATAAGATCGATTCAAAGACGAGCATCGACGACTTGATACAATTTTGTTTAACAAATTTATCACATGAATACCATATTGTTCGCGTTGGATGTGCAACAATCATAAAACGAATGATGAAATATCTCATTCAAAGTGACACCGAACAGTTAAGCAAGCGGCAGGAAAAACAAACAACGCTCGACGACTCAACCGATTCAATTGAATGGCATCTTTTACATAAATTCCGAAACATATTAACCGCCCAAAATGAGTGGACGCAGAATTTCATTGAAGAATTCAAGTATGAAAAAAGACACCAAAACCATTTTTCCTTTTAAAAAAATTATTATTTTTTCTTTTTTTCCATTTCATCGATAGCTTTAAATTAACCGAGTTGGACGATTTCAGTGAGATTCCATGCGAATGTTCAATTCCATTTATGTTGCTTTGGCATTGTATTTTAACCATTTGTGATGATGCATCGTCTGAATTACGTTCGATTTACGCTTCATATTTGGTGGAAGAGAAATTCGATCAAACATTTTTGCAAATGCTGTTCCGTATGATGCCCGCCGATGAAGTGCTACGAAGTCAAGAGATTAAGACAACCGGAAGTGCATACTTTACCGCAGTTACATGGCAACAAATTGCCAATGATGAAATTACATCGGAACGTTATGCATGCTATTTGTATACATTGGCATTGAAATACTTACCGGCAGTCGTACGACGTTGGTGGACCAATTCGCATCCACGTCAAAAATCGCTGGTTGATAAAATCACAACGGCATTTGTATCCACACAATTGTGTAACGATGAATTCCGTGCATTGCTCGATAAAAATGAAAAGCACGATTCATTTCAAATAACCGTACACTCGACAACACGTGAAGTGCATGCAACATATGTTATTGACGAGGCTTGCATGGAGTTGATCATACAATTACCAGTAAATTATCCGCTTGGCGTTGTGAAAGTGAATTGTGGCCAACAAATTGGCGATAAACTTCAATCACGTCAGGTTGTTATGCAATTGTCCATCTTTTTGACACATCAAAATGGTTCCATTTGGAATGGTCTGTCGTTGTGGAAGAGGAATCTTGATCGAAAATTCGATGGCGTTGAAGAGTGCTACGTGTGTTACAGTGTTATACATCAAGAAACTTGTCAATTACCAAAACTTACATGCAAAACATGCAAAAAGAAATTCCATGGTCAATGTTTGGTAAGCGAACTATATTTTATATTTTGTTAATTTTAGCTCTTTCTTCATTTAATTATTATTTACATGTATTTTCTTTTCATTTTACAGTACAAATGGTTCAACACAAGCAATAAGTCAACTTGCCCTATCTGCAGGAATATGTTTTAATTTATTTGTAGATAAATTATATATTGGATGCGCACAAATCTCAGGTACCGTTCAAAGCAAAAAAAGAGATATCAATTCGCAGTTAAATTAAAACAAAAAAAGAATATTTTCGTATCAATTTGAAGCATTGTAAATAAGGCAAACTTAAAAAAAATTCAAATAAATTGAGAAACTAATTAGATTTTTTTTGCTGAATGAATACCAGAGTTTTTTTTATAGTTGTATGATTTCACATATGGAACATATTATGGTTTGTATTAAAATTGAATTGTTAATATTTTAGAATAATGCAATGTAATGCATTCTTCATTTGTACCAACTATTGAACGATAGATGTGGACACATTTACAAGTGATCTAGCCAAATTGGCATTTGAAACGAATCATAAGCCAACCGAAAGGTTTAAGTTATTATGTGAGTCAGTAGCAAACTTTTTTAAGTGCTTCTAAGGTTAAGAATATTTGAAGAAAAAATTTAATATTAAAATTTGGTGTCACAGAATTTTAAAATGGTCTTACCATTAGCTTACCATTAATAAATAATACATCAATAGATTGATGATGTTTTAAGGTTAACATTTTTAATAGTTTTACATTTGATATGGTTTTTTATTATGTTTTTTGTACTTTCAGTTGTGAAGGTAAGATAATCTGGTTCTATTCAATTCTAAGCTAATTCTTTCCACTGAAATGTTCAAAGTTCTTATTACTTCGAAAATCAATAAGACAGTCATAATTACGTTGCACAAAGAAATAAATTAATGAAATGCCATAAGAAGATTGAGCACTTCTCAAAGTGCAAAGTTTACCAAAAGTCTGGATTTTTCTGAGATTCTTTTAATTGAAGAATGTTATTTTGAATCATACTCACTTGATAAATACACGCATTGATATGCAAACTCAATTGAATAAATTGTGGAAAATCATCAATTGAACTGTGCTTAAACTGATTGGATTGAATAGCGCTACTTTCACTTTACTGCGTGAATCTTCGTTGTATTTTCGATGTTGTTCATCACCTTGTTGCATATCATTTGAATTATATTGTGCACACAATCATCATAAGGCTGCACATTTTTATGCGAAATCTGCCATGCGCATGTTCAACTGTTTCATGTTTGTGGTCAATCCAATATCATAGCACCTTCCCATGACTTATAGAAGGACAGGGTTTGTAAATCGTAAAATGTAAACCTTTTCAATTAATAAATGTGTTCAGTCAAGAACAAATTTAAAAAACTCTTAAAATTGAAATCAATCACTAATATATACCTAGTGTATGTCAATATCAACTATTGGACGATAGATGTAGCACAAATGCATGTTATTCATATATGTTGAAATGAAACATTTTGAACAAAATACACACAGAGACACCGCGTTGAGACCGCTTGGTTCAAACAATCGACTATAGAAAGGCGGTAAATTGAATGTTATTTAGAGTCGACAGAAAATTTCAAAATCGATTAATATTGTTTCGACGGTAGTTCAATTGAAATACGTTGACATTTTGGCACAGACATTGTGCAGTGTTCGCTCAGTTAGCGATTTTCTATTAATATACAAATATACCATAAAAATATGTTTGGCACACCAAATCCAAACTTAAATCTATATTTAACTATTAATGATTTAAGATAAATTAGTTGATTTGAATGTTGACATGCCGGGCATTAAAAAAATACCAATTCATGATATTTTTTTGTATACACATTTTATTTCGGGAACTTTATAATGAGTTTGGAAAGTTTTATGATGGATTTTATTTCTCTATCTCTGCGTGTTTCAAATGACAACAAGACAGAGAGAGAGAGAGAGAAAAACGGGAATAAAAAGAATCATGTAGAGAACTGGGGGTAATCAATCACGCAAATTATTTTCAAGAAACAAAAACTAAAGATTGATATGTTGAAACCATTCTCTTATTAGAATGAATAATGCTGAAACAGATGGTATAGGATGGTCACTGAATTTTGTTTCTCTTTTCGATATTCGATCAAATCAGATTAACGGCGGAGTGATAAAAAATAACGTTAGCACAATGGAACAGGACATTGAAAGAGTTGAAAATGAGTGGAACGACTGAATCATATAATATTTTATATCATCGGTTTAACGCAACAGGGTCCCGTTCGTGAATCACTTTCATTTTTTCTTGGATCGTCGTAATTCACGCAACAGCGATCGCCGTTCAAAAACACCTCTCGAACTTTCAACAGATTTTTCTTTTTCAATTATACAAAAATTATGACCGAATTTTTTGTTTTGAATAAAATGCACCCGATGTAATTCTGATTTAATGAATAGCATCTATCAACTCGAGAAAAAAAATGAGTCAAGATGTATTGTGTGATTACAATCGATAAATTTGATTTATTTAATTTTTTTTTGTGGGGAGATTTTACTTTTAAATTATTTCTATGTGGTTGTGTATTTAATTCGTTTGAGAGGGATAAAGAGAGAAGGAAAGGAAGCGAGTTGCAATGAAAAATGTATTGAAATTCGAAATAGTTTTGAGAGAAAAAAAAACTCAAAGAATCTGAAAGAATGATCGTTATTTTTCATTTTTCTCCTCATCTTTCTCTTTCTACCAAATGCACTGATTTATCACAAATAGAAAAAAACAGGTCCATAGTAGGTGTCTTTTGTTATGGACGAAGTCAACGAATATGTGAGAAAATCAAAAAAATAGGATAAAAACCAACAAAAAAGAACATATCATTCATGATGTGAGATTCGAAATAAAATAGAGAGGGAGAGAATCTCTAAGAAAAGCCATTAGGTAAAATCGAAGATGTTTGATTAAAATATGTGTATTGCTGTGAAATGGCATTTTAGTTTCGTTTTCAAGTCAATTTGTTTATCTCAATGTCAGACACTTTCGAAGGGTGTGTCTCGAATGACGAGGTTTTTTTTTCGTTTGTGGTTTTTCCTCTTCATCATCGAGATCAAACCGAAGAAAAACATCAATGGATTTTCATTCAATTAATGGTGGGATTTCATCTTCATTAGAAATTGAATCGTTTTTGGAACTACGTGAAGAAAAAAAACCACCAAAAGAATATTTTTACACAATGCAGAAATACTCGTCCTTCATGCTGATTTGTACGTGGCTGTGGCTGTGCTATTGCATAGTTGCTTTGACTCTGTTGGTTTCTTTTTTAATTTCATTAAATTTGTATAAATACGTATATATTTTTTTCGTTTCGTGAACCAGCGAATAACTCTCAGCATAATAACGGCGACGGTGGCAGAGTACTTTATGTTCGTGGCCATTTCAGAATGGCGTACAATATAACGTTTGCTTAGGTATAACGCCTCCGCGTTTCCAGCATTGAAACGATGTTTTGACCTCGAAATCCCCACGCTGAAAAAGAAAACTATCGAGCATATAAAAGCAGCACAAATACAATCGAATTCCATACGTATGTGCTGTTTCTGATGGAGATAGGAATTTATAAGATGAAGAAGAGAAGAGAATACGAAAAAAAAAACCGCGCTTCGATTGCCCCGTGTTTAAAGAGTGCTTTTCTTTCCGCAGTTTTATTATTGCTGTTTTATGTTAGCGAGAGCCACATATCGTCTCTCGTTTTTTCCGCCGTACTTTTTTCCGTAATGCTGTTACAATGCAAAAGCATTGCATTAACGTTAAAATGTTTTATATCGTAAAGCACGAAAAAAAGCAACAACAGCGCCAACAACATATACACACAAAAATAACAATCAATATTTTCGAATCGGCATGGGTTAGGTTTTCATCGTGCGCGCGCACTCACAAGAGCCAATCCGAAACACACAGCCATTTTGAGCTGTGAGCATATTGTAAAAGTTGTTACATTACATTGGCATTTTGTTTTCGAGTATCGTTCAGAGTGCATCATCGAATGCGAAATGATACAAAAATTGTACAATCTTTCTCTCGCTCTCTTTCGATTATGTGTATGGTTTTGTGGGCACATGCGCGCATCCGTACACACACATACACACACACACGACTCAAGCAGCAAATAGATGGAACATGATCGACGGTGGAAAATAATCTACCACGATAATATAAATTAACCGACTTTATGGCTATGCATTCGTATATAAAACGATGAAACGGCACGAAAACAAGGCAAACATCCAACCAATCAATTCTATCTCTTACTTTCATTCAATTTTGTTCGATGCACTTTGCACTCCCTTTTGCTCGATCTCTTTCTCTCAATGCACAAACACAGACGCACACGCACACTGCATTGGAGGAGCAATATTTTCGTATGCAATTGCGTTCATCGGTTTTTTATTTTCCTTTTCTTGTAGCCTTTGTTCTCTCCGATTGTTGCCGGATTGTTTTTCGCAATGTTGCATGAAAATATGGTTTGTTGGATGCGTGCACGGTTATAGGAGGCTGCGCATATATACATTATATTTTAAATGGGATAACAATATACTGAGCGCGCGCAAAATTTTTATTGCACATACAAAATTTTTGAATGCAGAAAGGCACATCAAATGTGTCTCTCTTGAAAATAAATGAGTTTGCAATTGTGAATATTGTTGCCTGTTGTTGTCGTTGTTTCTTTTTTCTGAAATATATATGCACATTTAAGAAGGCATCTGCACGATATGTATGGTCCATAAAAATCGACCCAAAAATCTGTATAGCTGCAGAAAATGAATGCCATTCGAAAGAAGATTTTATTTGAAAATTTCGCCGTAGAAACAATGAATTTTGCTGTGAATTGATTGGAACGTACGTGTGCATGCCACATTGTTTTATCCATGACTTTATATTTATCGAAATGTATTCCGATGTATATGTGAAAAGAATATGTTACTAAATACAAATGTGCATAACATTTTTCACAAAAAGAATTCGCAAAGGATGCCAAACCTTCTGCATTATATACGAACTTTAAGTATCCGAACAGATAAGGGATTTTTTTTCGCGCGCGCATTTTCATAGTATTTTGCAAAAAAAAAAGTGCCACACATTTTTATGTGCACAGAAAAAGGGAACATGGAGCAAACGAAAAAAGAGCATATTCATGGAATGGAAAATAATGTGGCACAGTGTACATTTTAACATAGAGAAGCGATCGCTTTGCAAATTTGAGAAAGAAATAATAAGAAAGGAGAAGAAAGAAAAAAAAGAACTTAAAATTCAGTAAAAATTGAAACATGAAACGATTCGCTTTGAATATGTAACATAAAG